ATCAGACGGCGGTTCCAGCGGCCGGCGGGGGCACACAGGAACGACAGCCTGCAGCCTTGGTCTCTTGCCCTGAAATACCCTAAGCTCTGGGCAGGCCGAGGCCTATCCGCACAGCCGAGCTAGAGGAGGGGCTGCAGAAGCTTGGATGAGGAACTCCACCACAGCCGGGCTCTGGAGGGGTGTGCACGGCCACACCTCCCAGTCACCCCCAAACAGGCTCTTTTCTTGTTGTAACAGCACCCCTCTCCTTTGGGCCTGAGGTCAGCTTGGGGGTGAGAAGAATCTTCCCACAAAGAGGAGGTGGGGAAGGCATTTGGAAGCCTCCTCCAACCACAGGGACTTCCCAGTCAGGGCATCCAGCCTGGCCTCATGGGGGCTGATAGGGAATTAGGGATGAGGACGGAGAGGGGCCTGGGGGGCTGGTGGGAGGCAGGGCGGCCCCTGTGAAACCTTTAGTCGTGAAATAAGTGACATGCAAATAAGATGTCAGTGGCATGTACATTTTGCTCAGTTTGGATCTCTCTGGGGTACAGACCCTGAAGTGTATGGGGAGAGGGCATGCTTGGGTAGGGGTGCAGTGTGTGGCCCTGTAGTCACCCTCCTCCCCTGAAGCCCCTCTCCTTCCTTTCTTGCCCCCCTTCCCTCAGTCCAAGGACACCTCAGTCCTGGCCAAACCCAGCACTACCAGCCTCCCGTGCAGGGAGGACCACCTCTCTCCCTGCCACCCCTGCCCTCCTAAAATTGCCAAACTGCGGTGGTACCTTTGGGCTCTCATTTGGCTAAGGCTACATGCCACTTGCGTCCTGGCAGGACAGGGATCCTGCTGCGCTGGCGCTTGCCCCAGATCCCGCCCTCCACAGTCTGCATGGAGCTGCAGCCTGGGGGTTGCAGAGAGGGGCAGGGGGCGCCTGCAGAGCCCACCACTCACCTCCAAGATCAGCTCCTCCATCTCGAATTGTCTTTGTGAGGCCTTGTCGTCCCCGGGGGGCTCGTGGTAGAGCAGCGCCAGCACCTCGTGCTTCTTGAACACGCTCTTGTAGTTCTTCAAGTTCACGTTGGCCACGCGGTCCACACCATCATACTCGGGGAAGTCCAGCCCTTCCTCTGCCCGCACCCCAGACTTGGGTGTCCCCAGCACCAGTAACAGCAGCAGTGCCAGTGGCAGGCCGTGTGCGGCTCTGGCCCCCATCCGATCGGCAGCACTCCTGGAGGAGGTGGGGTCTGGGTCGGGTCTCCTGGTCCAGGAGAGGTTAGCTGGGGTAAGGAGCGGCCCTCAGGTCCCAGATCCTGAGTTTGGGGCTCACGGCGGGGGTGGGGTGGGGAGCGGCTCAGAGCAGGGGACAGAGGACACTGCTGGGTCCTGGAGAAACTGCCCAAGAGCCAAGAGAAAAAGGGTCAGGAGGCGGACTAGGAGCAGGGGGCGGGGAGGGAACCGGAGCTGCCCCTGAGGCTGGCACCCCTTGGCCCCATGGTCCTGTCTAAATATGTCTCGGGCCTGGCAGGGGCGAGGGGTAACCTCCTGCGGCCAGGGCAGCTCTGCGGGGCCGCGACCCTCCCGCCTCCAGTGCCTCCTTCCCCTCCCCCTCCCTGGTGTCCAGGGCTCCTCAGCCCCCATCCCCACACCGGCCTGAGAGCTCATCGCCATATTAAGAAAGGAAAAAGCCAGAGCTAAAAATAAGACCAGATGAGTTGGAGGTAAATGAAGCTGGGGCTGGGGGAGGGGATGTGTAGGGGACTTAGGGATCGTGACTGAGGGCAAGGGTACTCAGCGAGGAGGAATGAGGGGTGGAGAGGATCAGGGATTCTGGGCCAGAGGTCAAATTTGTAATATAGGACAAAAAAGGGGGCAAATGCGGTATGGACTCTAGGTCCTAAAATTGGGAATCTCTTCTAGATAAAGTCTGTTTCTTTGATCCTGTGGAGCAGAGAGGCAGTAAAATTGCAATCCAGGCTGCAGAGAAGAGACCCCTGCATTCCCTTTAAAGAACCAGGACCGAGGATGAGGTCATTCCCTGAATAAGAAATGGAGCCTGGTCCAGGACAGGCAACCTGGCTCAGCCCCGGCCCATTTCCTTTGCTTCACTCAACACTCCTAACTTGGGAATGCAGGGCCGGGTGCCGGGCCAGGAGCGCTGCCCACAGCCAGCCTGCAGAGGGGCGGATTCGGGGTTTCTCTGCCCTCAGGGCCCGAGGTGAGAAGCGCACAGCCACTGGGCTGCTGCCCCCTGTTGCGCTCTCTGCTCTGATCTGCGGGACTCCGTTCCCTAGGGCACAGTGGGCAGGGAGGTTCCCCAGGCTGAAGGATTCCAAGGAAAGCAAACCGTGACCATCACTGCTACATGTTTGACAAGGCAAAGAGGATCAGGTCTAAATACTAGGGAAAGAATGAATGAACGCCGGGAAGCCATGAAGGGGTGGGCCCTGTGCTGAGCGGAGGATGCTGATTAATTCTGCACACCCTGTACCCCACACCCCATACCGGGGAGCCGAAGTGGAGTTGCAGGGCTGGGGCTCCTACTTCCCAGATCCCTGCTTGGAGGTGAGGGAGCCTGGGTGAGCTCGGTTCTGGGTACCTAGGAAGGCAGGACCCTCTGCATGGCCCTCCAGGGCTCTTACCACGCACAGGTACACTGAGGCGTGAGTGAGCCCACAGATCTCACCAGATCAGAGTCAGAAGCCCTCTGGCCCCACCCTGAAGTATCTCTGGTTTTGGAGGGACAGTGTTTATTTTGCACCCAGGCAGGACGTGCAATTATGCTAGAGGAATACCTTTGCCACGCTTTGTGGGGTGGACCTTACCTGGCTAGGCAAGGCAGGCCACAGAGAATCTCAAAAATGTGGCAGGAGTGGGTCCAAAAGGGACAGCTGTCACTGGAGCAGGAGAGGTCAGAGCTAGCCTAAGTGGGGCACGCTGCAGCTGAAGAGACCTCAGGGCCCATCTCCTGGGCTCGGGGGAGTGACTAGCGAGCCCGCAGCCCCACAGGGCAAAGGCACCAGGAGAGGGGGCAGGCCCGCCTGGAGGCTCAGGACCTACGTGGCTTCCCGCCTCACTTCTTGCTCCGGGGGAGGGGACATTTGGACAGAGACATTGGAACCTTAGATTGGTGCCGTCTTGAATCTGACCTTTCATGCCCTGGAGGGTCTGAGGTGGGCCCGGATGGTGACCCAGGCCGGCTCCGCGTCCTCATCCTCTCCTGCAGCTTCCATGCCTCTTCTGCCAGTCCTGCCCCCTGTCCTCGCCCGTGGCCCTCCAGAGCCGCCCTTTCCCTCCCAGCAGCTGTGTCCCCTTCCCTCCACTCCCTGTCCCCTTCTCTCTGATGCTTTGTTCTCTGCCTTCCACTCGGTCCCTTCCTGGCAGGCCCCTGCCTTCAGGCCCTTGGACTTAGCAGGCCTCAGCCATTGGTGTCAAATGACCCTGAGTTGGGGCGTCTGTATTTTTAACCCACCAGACACCTGAAGCTCCTGCGCTGAAACCTGAGGAGCTGGCCCCTCCGCACTCCTCCCTGCCTGCCCCATGCCCCGCCTGGCCCCTCCACCTTCCTGGTCTGGTTCAGTCGCGTCAGCAGCCCAGCAGCCTGGAGGAAGGACCCCAGACTGACAGCCCTGTCCCTAGGAGACCTCGTGTTGGAGGAGGCAGGGGACACCCTGAGGGGCGCCTGGTGTAGGGGACAGTGGCTGGCAACACCTCGCTGTGGCTTTTGTTTTGCTCACCCGTGGCCTCTCATCCTCCAGACCCCTCCACCGCCCTATTTTTTTGTCTTTTGTTTGTTTCTGTATGTTTGGCCAGCCCTCATTAAGACTGGTCTTACAACAGTTAAGAGTGCAAGTTCCGGAACCAGGCCTCGGTTTCCTCATCTAGAGCACCGGGCGGGCGGTGCGGATGGTGGATGGTGCGCGCATGCCTGTGCCACCGCAGGGCACCTGCTCATCCGTAACACGTGCGCTTCATTATGGGGGCAGTCTGCGCGTCCCCAGCTCTCCTAGGCCATTTCTCTTTTGCTCTGTGTGCTTTGGGCACAGCCTCCGAAAGAGGCCTGAGAATGAACTGGCCCACAGACAAGACTGCTGACCAGCTCACAGAGCAAAAGCGGCGAGTGGGTGAGGAGGAAGGATGAGCCGCCCCTGAGGGCGGGCAGGCGAGGAAGGACTCCTCACCTCCGAGACTTAGCACAGCGCCTGGGCCCAGGCTCGGAGACCAGGCTTTAGGGGGGGAATGCCCATCACCCTGTGTGAACCCTGCAGCACAGGGGGGCGGGCACTTTGCCTAAAGTCAAGGCTACAGAGATTCCGAAAAAATGGGCTGAGGGATGGGACAGGGCTCAGGTGCCCTGAGGAAAGGGGCAGAGGGCGGGAACCACCACTCCTTCCTCAGAGGAGGGCCACGGCCTCACATCTACCACTCTCCAGGTGTCCTGTCTCAGGTCATTTAACCTCTCTGACCTCAGGTTCTTCTTAGATTGGTGAGGCCTCTTAAATAAGGCCTCTGCAGCCCGGAGTGTGGGTGCTGCAGCCCCTGTGCAGGGGGTGGCTGAGCCGCCTCTCTCCCCCTCCCATCTCTCCAAGCTCTGCTGGACTTGTTCTGTCCCTGAGCTCAGTCAGAGAGTGGCTTTCGGATGGGGACTAGCCCTTAAGGGGCGAGGGTGCTTGATTCTGATCCCCGCGCAGCCCCACCTGCGGGTCCCGAAAGACTCCCCTGCCTGGCTCCCGTGAAATCTCAGGACAGTCACAGTAATCCTCTCTCTCCGAGCCTCAGATGCAACGCATCTCGCCAGGTGAGAGCCGCTGCGAACATTTACTCTGCAGACCTGCTGCTCATTCAACAGGCAACAGCCCTCCCTGCGGGGCTCCCTCAGCCCACCCATCCCCAGGCCCTCACGCCAGCCCCAGGAGCGCCAGCCTCTCACCCAGGACGGTCCATCCTAGCAGCTCTGCCCCTGCTCAGATGATGAGCCCAACTCCTAGCCCCCCCTCCACTCCCCCAGCCCCCAGGAAACCCTGTGTCAGTGAAGCTCTTTCTCCACCGCACTCAGTAGCAGGTCTCCCTCGCCAGCCAGCCTGTGGAAGAGAAGAGGTCAGAGTGAGAAGGGTGGGCTGCGGGAGCGGCGTCCAGGGGCCCAAGGGTACCCTTGGTAGGGGGCCTGCAGGTGGAGCACAGGGCCCTGAGGTTTGGACAGAGCAGGCAGGCTGAGGAGTCCTGGAGTAGAGGGCAGGGTCCCGGCACAGCACAGACCAGGCAGTGAGGTGGGGAGAAAAGCGATGGGCCTGGGGAACTGGCGGGATGCGAGAGCCTGCCAGAGCCTGCCAGGGGGCTGGGGACCACCCCCCAGGGTTACGGCGGATGCTGAGTTTTCTGATTTCATCGTAGACAAAGATAAGCATGCTGTAGGGAGTGGCACAGAGCCACCAGAACAACCTGTAGAGGGCAAGCACTGGTCAGTGGGGCAGGAGTTGGAGGGGCCAGAGAGGGCCGGTGCAGAGGACAGTGTGTGGGAACTGAGTGCTTCGGTGTGTGGCGTTGGTTCCTACCCCCGAGGAGGGCGGAGCCTGGGGGCGGGAGGAGAGGCCCAAGACAGAAACATAAAAAGCCAGGATAGCAGAGCATGACAGATGCCACACCTGAGGTGCGTGCCGTGTTCACGGAGATTATCTGCTGCCTTTTGCGGAGTCCTTCAGGGAGACCCCTTTGTGTCTGGGCATTCAAGACCTTGCACCCACAAAGGGGAGGTTGTCTAAGCAGGATGGGTTTATCTGAGACCAGCTGTGTGGGAATATATACACTCTGCCATAATGCAAAGGTGGGGGAATTTTTCTTCCTGACTCTCTTCTATAATTAGAGACCAGGAAGATGGACGCTGGGGAGGAGATGAATCAGAACCACATCTGTTCCCTTGCATGGCAGAGACATGGCCAAAACCAGCGCTGCCCAGTAGAAATAGATCACAGGCCACAAGTGAAATTTAATATTTTCCAGTAGGCACATTAAAATATGTAAAAGGCAACAGGTGCAATCAATTTCAATAATATATTCCATTTAACCCAATGTATCTAAAACATTATCATTTCAACATGAAATCAATATAAATGAGATAATGAGATACTTTACATTCTTCTTTTTATCCTCAAGCTTCGAAATCCAGGGAGCATTTTTCACACTGACAGCACATCTCAAGTCAGACACTAAATGTCAGTGGTTAAAGGAAAAGGTAGCCCAACAAGAATAGCACAGTTTTATGTAATAGAAAAATATTTGACACTGCTTTGGTGTTTAACTTTAAATGAACTAAATAAGATTACAAATTCGGTTCCTCAGTCTCACTAACCATATTTCTTACTAGCCATATTTTAAGAGCTTAATAGGATAAGGATAAGGATAATGGCTACTGGATTGGACAGGGCGGGTGTAGACCACTGTGCATTCCACACACACACGCCAACAAATATAAACAGCTATATAAAATGGTCCCATTCATTCAGCAATGATCATCCTGTGTCTACTATTTACTCTGTGTCCGTGTTAGGTCCTGGGGACATAAAAATGATGGCATGACTGTCTTAGATCTCAAGGAACTTGGGGATCAGAGAAAAGAGGATAAATAAACACACAAAATAAATGATTGCAATATTAGCTGATGTGTTTTAAGATTAAGGTATATATAAAGTGTCTGGGAGATGCTCAACTGTCTCTACTGTTTTGTATATATTGCTACTAATAGCAACAATAATAAAGCTCCTATTGACAAGCTCCCATCATTCCTATGCTTGGTGCATTATACACATTTCTATGCATAATTCTCACAACAATTGCCAGGTATGTGTTACAGAAATCTGGCAGGTGAAACTGAGGTTCAGAATGGTTCCATGCTGTCCAAGGTCACATAATACTACACAGTTGAGTTGAAATTCACACCTGAAATTGTCAGTGTCTAAGGACACTGCCAATGTCTTTTGTTAAATATTCGTTGAGCACCTGCAGTACACAAAGCATTGTGGAAAACACTGCAAGGGACAGAAGGGTGAGCAAGGCATGTGAATGCCTAGAAAATGAGCTGGAAAAATACACCCTAAATCATTAACAGAGGCTACCTGTGCAGGGGAGGGTAGCAGGAATGGGAGGGGAAAGTGGGCTTTGGTTTTTCTCTGAAAATCTTTAATAGAATTTCTTCACAACAAGCATATACTAATGTCAAAAATAAAGCAAAGCAAAACAAAAACAACCATGGGACTTGAACGAAGCAAGATACCAGACGGCACAAACCTCAGTGTGCCCACTCACACATACGCATAACCCACACACATACGCACAACCCACACACATTTGCACAGGCACGACAGAATTAGCCACACGCAGCTCAGGCCATTTTCATGATGACTTCAGCTCTGAGCAGTATGTACACCTGCACAGCCATACCACACATGGCTCTGCAGAAGAGGCCACTCTGTGAAGTGTGGTAAGGCTGCAAATGTGCCAGGCTGGAGGGTTGTGTACACAGCCACCCATCTTCCCCAGTGAGATGCATTTGTTGCAGCGTTGAAACAGACGAATGAAACACACCTTAGCACACACTCTCCCTGCGCCCAGAGGCCCCCCTGCTTGCATCCCTTCCCTACTCCCTTGAGTGGGTACATTCGCAGGGTCACGTCCATACCGGGAGTGCAGGACAGAAAAACAGCCAGGATCATCTGCTCCAGGATCCCAAATATTAGGATCTTGTTTCTGGGAAGAAATGTTGAAGGGTGTGCTGGAGATAAGGAGGGTGAGGGCTGGGGAGGGCTGGGCCTGTGCGTGTGGTGGGGAGTGTGGGGGCCGTGGGGGGCACGCACCTCATGCCCTGCTGGAAGATGGAGTTGGGGCGGGTCTTGCAGATGATGAGGTCAGCCCACTGCATAACCACGATGCTCACAAAAAAGGCCGTGTGGCACGTGAACTCCAACACCTTCCACTGCTTGTAGGTCCGCGGGGAGGGCAGGCAGAGCAGAGAAGGCAGTGGCTGAAGGGATTTGGATACACCTCAGTCGCTTCTCCCCTCTCTGGCCCCCAAGGCCGAGTGAGGCCTTTAGACAACCGCAGGACTTACACGTATCTCTGTCTTCCCACTTTTCTTGTTCTATTTTGAGTTGTTCATATCCTTTCCTTATCTGCCTGAGAGCTCCTCAGGGGTAAACGCCTAGTCTGATTTATCTGTAAATACGCTTAGTTCACCATGTGCTTAGTTCAGTGAATGGCATGGAATATGGCTCAACACATATTTGCTAAATTAATAAGAAAGGTGGTGTGACTTAGCAGCATCAGAGGAAATGGGTCAAGAAGGAAGGTGGGGCTGGAAGGGGGCCTGAATGTGGAAGGGAAGGGAATGCCCAAGGGGGGCCACCAGATAGGAGACATCCATTCATCCTCTCATTTCCATGTTACATGAGGAAGGTAGAGCTGAATGGGGAAGACCCAGTATGCTGACTATGTCAGTAACAGATCACAGAAAGCTATGGGAACCCAGAAGAGCTGCATCTAAATTAGACTGAAGGGAAAGCTCATGTGTGAAAAAAATAAAACCGCAGGTTTATAAATGACATGTAGGTCATATAAAGAGTTTGGAAATATGTGGGACTGAACAATAATGAGATACTGCACATCGAACCTCATAGGACGTGGGCAAAGTTGTACTTGGAAACACAGAGCCTTAAATGATTAGAAAACAAAGGCCGAAAATTGATGAGCCAAGCACTGGACTGAGAATGAGACCAGTCAGCAGGTCCGTGTGCCTCGGGTCATGCCACCCCTGCCCCTTTCTGCGCTCAGCTACCAATACCCCGGCCACTCCCGTCACCACGTAAAGAATGCAGCTCCTGACCCCTTGTCACTCTAACACTGCTCCTGTCCTTGGTTTCTGAGATTTAAATATCCATGTTGATGACCCTCCAATACCGTGGTCTCGTCGTTCCTCGGTCTACCCCAGCGGTGCTGCCCTCCTCTCCGCGTCAGGGCTGCTTGCTCCTCCCATGGCTAAGCTCCAGATACCCGCCCTTCCAATAGCTAGAATTTCTCTGTAATCTCTGTTTCAAGCATCTCTTTCTCTCTGGCCACTATCTTTATATTTCTATCTCACCTGCTCTAGTATCTCAATTCTAATACTTCTTGGACTCCACTTGGACTGACAGTCCATCAACCCAATCTGCTATACCTTTGGTTATGATCTGTCTCCCCTTGCACCCCCTGCTCCTAAGTGGAATATAAATTCCACGAGAACAGTCACTTGATCATTTTTGTTCACTACTGTATATCCAGGGCCAAAACAACACCTGGTGCATAGAAGATGCTCAACAAACATTTGTTGAATGAATGAATGAGTGTGTGGAGATCATGAAATTGATGCTGAGAGATATGTGGAAAGGAAGGAGCTACCCTTGCGTCTAGCATTATGTAGACTGCTTCCTGGGTGGGCAGCTCTGGATTGGATTATCTAAGATTACAGCAGTCGAAGAGGTATATAGACTTTACCTCTAGGGAATTTATTCCTCAGGGAATTTGTTCTCAACCCATTTTGCAATACCTCAAGATGTCTTTGATGTAATTTGGTACTACTTCAAATTAATTTTAATTACCTTTAATACATTTTGAATAAATATGTGTCAAGCTGCATCTTGGCAGCAGGAAGATATTATCAAGACATAAAACTCACAGGAGCCTGAGTTGAGGATTGAGATGATTGACAGGTGTTCCACAGTGATGAGGACTTTGGGGATCATTGGCCCCTGAAGTAGTGTTGGTAGCTGGCAACGTTCACATGTGACGGCCTCGTGAGGCTCAGCTAGCAGAAGCTAAGTGTATATATGAGGGACATCTTTGCAACAGCCCAGATTTTAACAGGCTTTTGAGAAGCCTGCAGTTAGCTTGGTTTGGAGGCGTAATGGTGAAGTGGTAAAGTGCCAGGCAGGAATCAGCCCAGAATTCTAGTCCAGCTCTTCCAGAGATGCACGGTGGGATTTTGAGCCTGTCACATCTTTCCAGACTCAGTTTCCTCGCTTACAGAATGACGATAATAGACCATGTGTCTATGGTGCTACAATTCCAGCAATAACTGGGGTTACATCTCCCACTGTCTTTGAACTTGGGACAGCGATGTTTGCAGATACCGAAGAGCATACTTGCTAAAATTCTTAACACATCAGTTTGGGCCTCATTCCTCTTGCATTTTAGGAAAGACCATGACAGAGAGGCATCCTCTGGGTTTGAAAAAATTGAGAATCATGAGGAAAGGATGTACAAAAAAAATAGGTTTTCAGATTTGAAGTCACATATAGTTCAAACTCCCATGGAGGGAGGGAGCACACAGGAGAAAGAGGACACAGCTGGGGCCAGTACCTGGAAAACCAGGAACCAGCCCTAAAAACATGATAGGACAGAAAAGGAGTTGCAGGTCCAAGGGGACCAAAAGGTCCAGGAAGGTGAGGACAGATAGCAGACAGTAGGAGCGAACAGAAATGAAGTGATTGTAGGCGCGGGGTGGATGCTTGCTGATGGGACAGGAGCCTGGGGTCCAGAGTCAGAGGTTCACATGGGAGTGGAGACGAGGCAGCACCTATGCCATCCGGCACCTCCATTCTCCCACCCTTCAAGTGTTTGCTAAACCCACTCTTTCCTTTCACTTCTTCCCTTTCACTGGTCCCCATCTACTACCCTTCCCGTCTCACTCGCCCACTGCTGTCCATAGCTGTCCTCCAGGTCACTGAAGTACCAATTTTCCCAGCTGTGGTGGATGCCTAGCAGATCAAAAGGCTTAAAACCATTCTCAGCCAGGATCACAAAGTAGGTGAAGAACCCAGCCAGAGCCTGGATCATTCCTGTGAGTGACAGAGTCACAGGACTGGGGAACCTGGTTCAGAGAAGGACCTCAAAAGGCAGACCATGGAAGGAGGGGTGGGTGGCTGGGACTTGCCCCTGGCTGGGTTGGTATGTGTCAGAGTTTTAATGCTGAAGATTCTTGCCATCAATGATATGAGCCCATCATCTCTACAGGACTTGCCTCCAAGCCCTAACATTTGTTTCTGAGCTCTAACCAGAGTCATATTTGAATCGTAAAATCTTAAAACTGAAAAAGACTTCAGTGGAGATTTATTCTTGCTCCCCATTGAGGCTGCTGGACTCCCCTCTCTCCATTTCCTCTGACACATTTGCTCCTCACATCTTTCCCATGTGCCCTTGGCCTCTTCCTTAGCCAACACCTCCATCCCCTATGCATGGACCACAGCAGCAGCTGATGTTAATGTTTGCCTACTAACTACAGAAATGTACACCGTGCAAGTCGCTGTAGACCTTGATCCTCGCAGTTATGAGCTATTATCTACCTTTTGTAAATGGGAAAACAGAAAACAGATTCAGTCATTGTCCCGAGTCATATAGGTAGTAGCTGGTGAAACTGGAATTCAAATACAGGTCTGGCTCCTAAATCTGTGTTGTTCCTCCCCCAGATATTGGGATGGTCTCCCCTGTCCCGTCTCTTCCCTGTCTGCCCCTCAACCCTACCCTCTGAAACGCCCCGTTGTACCTGGCAGCTCAAGAGCAAAGACTCTGAATGGCTCTCAAATGTCTTGCAAGGCTGGCCCCAATACAAATGTGACCTGTCTTTCCAGCCTTATTTTCCACTATTCCTTTATCAGGAATAAGGGCTCCACCCCTGGTTTATTCACTGCTCAAGAGCTCTGTGAATTTCCGCCCTGCTGTGGTCCCGCATACCTGGCCACACCTTTGTCAGTCTGAGCCTCACCTTCAACACCAAGCTGAAGTCCTGTTTCCTCCATAAAGCCTGTGTGACTGTCCTGACTGGTGGGTCCCCTCGCTTTGTCCTTCTGCAGCATGTCCTGTCCACACTTACTATTAGGCACTTGGAAAGATGCTATCACTTTACGTGTGTTTATTCCTTCCTGACTGGACTTGCAAGTCAAGGGCAGGTTAGAGATGAATGGTTTTTTGTGTTCCCAGGGCCTAGCACAGTTGGTCGTTAAGAAAATCTCTCCCTGACTTTCCAGCCAAGACGGCTTCAGTGGCCGGGCAGGGGCGGCCCATCCCTTTCCCTCCTCATCCCTCCGGCCTCACCGATCTGCCCGTAGGACATGCCAATGAGACGGCGGTTCACCAGATTATCAGTTTTCAGATTATGGGGCACCCTCTTCATGATGTCACTTTTGGCTGACTCATAAACCAAGGAGATAGCAGGGACCTGGGGGATGGTGTGCGGGGGTGACAGGGGACACAAAGTTCGGAAGGAAGCTTGGAAGTCCCTCTCCCTAGACACAGGTTTGTCCTGCTCCCCAGTCCATCGCACAGGAGATCCACGAGCCAGGTCCCGACTCGGCCTTCACCATGTCTGTGCCCAGGTCAATGCAGAGGATGGTCACGGTGCCCAGGGGCAGGGGGATACAGAGGACGATGAAGAGCAGGAAGGGGGTGATCTCGGGGATGTTGCTCGTCAGCGTGTACGCGGTGCATTTCTTCAGGTTGTCAAAGATGAGGCGGCCTGTGGGGGACAGTGAACCTCCTGTGAGAAGCCCTGCAGGGGCACACCTCCCACAAGCCAGTCCCTGGACAGGGACCACTACAAAGCAGTGTCGTGGTCCAAGAAAGGGTCTGGGGGTCCTAGACCTCGGGGGCCCCAGTTTTGTTTCCACATGGTGTGACCATGAATTAAAGCCAGGCTTTGTTAGTATGGCGCGTCTGCGCGCTCTTTGTTCTCGGATTCAACGTGGCTAATGTCATCTAATCTCTGAAAATTAAGCAAGGTTGGGTCTGGTTAATACTTAGGGATGTCTAAGAGTGCCAATATGAAAGTCATTAGAAGATTAAGGCTGAAGTGGAATTAGGGTCAACCCCATTTTCTGGCGTAACTAGCTTGAGAATTTGGGCACCTCTCACCTCTGAGCTGCATTCCTCCTGCCTCGCGAGATGGCCCGAGTCCTTCCCTGACGATCCTTTCCAAAACTGTGCTCCTTGCTCTGATTTCTCTCCCATTGCACCATCTTCCTTTGATATGCTATGCTACTTACTTTATTGTCTGTCTTGCTCCACTAGGCATTAAGTTACAGTGGCCGGGGATTTGTGTCTCTTTGGTCCCCACAGCATCCAGAATACTGCAGGGTACATAGTTGGTGCTCGAAAAATGTTTTGGATTGAATGGATGCAAAATACTGAGCAAAGTATCAGGATCATACTAGGTCTCAGTTAAAGGATAACTATTACCATAATGCCGACCGCCATAGGATTCAGTAAGATAGCCCCAGGCAAGAAGCAGGGAGCCTAGGGTGCAGAATTCTGGGGTTCTCTTGTTCACCAGTGGGTACTGTCTTCAGAATTCTCTGAGGAACAGGGTGCTTAATTTGGCTCATGCAGTCAATTCATAGATCAGGCTCCAGCTGCGCTTGCTATGTCGCTGTCATTCAGGCAACAGTTTCCTAGGGGGCCCTCCTGAGATCGTGACGTACAGTCACCCCTGGAGTATGGCTACATCTTGGAACTGTTATAGACCCATCTGAGTCTCCAAACCTCCGTGAGGGAAGAAAGAAGATGCTTTGCTATACCAGGAGCTGTAGTCTCCCTAGAAATCAGGACTTTTCTCCATGCTCATAAAAAAGGGCTCCTGATAGTGGTGTTTAAGTACCAGCAGAATCAAATTTGTAGAACTTTTTCATACAGTGATTTTTCCCAGTCCGTACAGGGCCATGGAGGTCAGGCAATGGGCACACCAACTTGCAACTGAGTCTGAGGGTCAAGGCCCAGCCCTGGCACCTGAGTCCTTACCCTCCTCCACGCCCGTGATGATGGAGGCGAAGTTGTCGTTCAGCAGGATCATGTCAGCGGCCTGCTTGGAGACGTCGGAGCCGGTGAGGCCCATGGCGATGCTGATGTCAGCCTTCATGAGTGCGAGGGAGTCGTTCACGCCGTCGCTGGTCACCGCCACGGTGGCGCCCTGCGGAGGAGCAGAGGAAGTGAGAATCGGCCGTGTCAGACTCAGGACCGATCCCAGAGGTCAGTGTGACTGCCTCGTCCCTTGTTTCCTGATGCGACCGTGCCTGATTTAAGCCTCCTGGCCCTTCCTTCTCCTGCTCCCGAGATGTTAACCCTCTCAGGGAGCCCCCAGACTGATGCCCACCTCTGGGGTTCAATGTGAGATACTGCCTGGAGTCTCCCCTGGCCCAGCCCACGCGGACCTCTGTTTGGTTGGGGCTCGGCCATGCCACATCCCGCAAAGCTGCTCTGTGTCCCTTACCAGCCTCTGACATCCCTCTACTATGATGAGCTTCTGCTGAGGGGAGGTCCGAGCAAACACAATCTCGTTGTGGTTTCAGAGGATCTCATCCACCTGCTGTGAGTTCAGGTCCTTTAGTTCTGAGCCCTGCACTACAATGGCTTCGACATCCCTGAAGGAAAGAATTTTAAAAGTCTAGTTCAGAGTCAGAGTTCCCTGGGGCTCCTGGTGCCCTCTAACCAACCTTTACCACACCTCCTTGCCTCCGCTTTCCATCCCATCTCTCCACTGTCCCCGGCCATTCACCATCCCCACACTGACACTGCATCCCCTCCCTCTGCCCCAGCCACTCTTCCCCTTTCTCTGCCCCTTTATTTCTCCCACTGCTTCTGAAAACCCACTGACATAGTCACTGGCCATTTTCCAACTATTTTACTTTGCAATAAGTAAACCCCGCACGTCTCCAAGAACTTTAGTACCTGGGATCTGGGTGGCGCAGGCTAAAGCCAGAGGAAAAAAGTGGCAGATCTGAGTTCTTCAGGGGTCTGACCTGCTGTTGATCTGGCTGACAGGGACGTCGAGCCGAGCAGCAACGTCATTCGCTGTCTCCGTGCCTTCTGAGATGATGCCCACACCCTTGGCAATGGCCTTGGCTGTAATGGGATGATCCCCTGTCACCATAATCACCTGGGTTGGAAGGGGAGCAGAATCTTCAGAGAGGTCCCGGATGCTCCCCTCTCTCTAAGAGCTTACATATTGGGTCTTTCATTACACAGGTGTTTTAGTCGCTCATTTCCAAGAACATGTTTTATAGATAAAAATCTTGCTACTGTGGCTTCAAACCTTGGGAGCAGGTCAGGGCCACGAGACCATGAAACCTGGGACAATTTGGGTTCTAGGTTTCCTGGGAATAAATCAGGTATTTAGGTGTATTACTATATTCAGAATTTCATTTAATTGCTCCAGAGGTATTATGCTTCTTGAAGCTCAAAGACAGACACCTACACACGGAACAAGTGGCAATAAACAAGTATCTGGAATAATCCATCCGCCTAGCAAAATTCCATCTCGGTCCAGGCACACTCCACTCCTCACTCCGCCTCTCATCTTCCCACTGCCTCCTTGCGTCTCTGGATCTGGCCCTTTTTTGGGCCCCTGGTACCAGCTGTGCCCATCCCATCCCTCCCCCAGGACCGGTGCCCGAGCTCTGCGCTTCCCTAGCGCTCTGGTCCTAATGTGTGTTGGCACTCAGCTCTGCTTTGCATGGAGATGGCTGGTCTGCATGTCCCCCACGGGGCGGAGAGCTCTGACTCCTTGTTAGGTTCCCTGCCTTCGCACAACGCCTCACACATGGGAAGTTATTGACAAACAGTTCCATGTGAAGGAACGAAGGGAGATGGCTTCCCAGAACCACTGCTCGGGGTTCCCAAGTGCCCTCAAGGACACGATTTTTCAGGCCCTGATGGGAGGGAAAAGGAAACTGTGACTGAGCTGTCCAGCTGCATGTGGGAGCAGAGGACCCAGAAAGGTCAGGCTATTTACCTCAGGGCATGGAAGTAAGCCTTGAAGGAGTTTTCCTGTGAGGCCTCCTCATTCCATAGCAGCACCCCAGGCATATAGGAGGGAGACAGCAAAGCGTAACTCAGCTGTGGTCTCTAGGGACTCAGCAAAGCGGCCTCCCTTCTCCTGGCTCAGGTGCGGGGCACTCACCAGGCTTGGCCTGTGCACCAGGGGGACCTGGGGAGGAGCTGGGAGGGAGCTGCCTGGAGCATCAGAAGATTCCAGGTGTGATTCAGACTGAGCCCCCAGTGAAGGCTTTTGGCCTCCAGTGCCCTGGCAGCTTCCAGTGGCTCACCACGGGGACAGGTGTGGTGTCATCCTGAGGCATTCCTAGTGCCCAGCCCCACTTGACAGTTCAAGTGGAGTTTCTGGCAGTGCCACCTCCATGCCAGGCTTGAAGTAAAAACAAAGTCAATCACCCCAAGAGGGGGTTCTAGGACCCAGGGTCATGGAGCGCTGAGCTGCACACGTGTAATACAAGTGCGGTCCCACAGAGAATGGTCCGCTTGGAGGGAGAGGGCGCCTGATCATTCTGGCCTCTGGCAAGTACTAAAGGGATTTCATCTTCAGCTTCTCGGTGTTGACTGTCCCTCTGATGGTCCTCCTCGGTCTTGAAGCTGCCCTCTTGTTCCCTCGTCCCCTCTTCCTCCAGACTGAGCCCATGAGAGAGAAACCCCCCAGCACTCGTTATGTCAGGCCCTCATTGCTTCACTGCAGCTCTTAGAGGAGGCCAGCTTCACAGCAAGCGCCAGGTATCTTTAGTGTACCCTTGAGAGCCCCAGTCAGGGGCACATATAATCGGGTACCTTTATTTTAGTCTTTAAAAATCACATCTATTCCAAAAGCCTGAGCACATGGCTGTACCTGGGAAAACCCGTCTCATAACCATTTTCTTGTAAAATGTTTGCCGCCTGCCTTATGGGACAACTGCCTGTACGTCCGTCACATTTTGTTCTCCGTGAGTGACGGCATCGTGTGGATGCCAAACTTCCCTAAAGGGAAAAGGGGGTGATTCCCAACTCCTCCCCAGGTCTGCCAAATGTCCATCTGCTTAGGATCCAGAAGAAGTAAGAAATGACAAGGAGACATGTAAACCTAGGTCCAGAGCGAGGACTGGCCCCAAAGCACCAGGCCGCCTGCTTCAGGCCAGGCCCCAGGGTCCTCCTCAGACCTTCACAGGCTCGCTGCGCCTCCGGCTGGGACGCCCTGACCCGGCGGGCACCCTGGCTGAAATCACCCCTTTGTTCCCTCTTTGGGCCTCCCCGCCTGTAGGCACAACTCTGACTCCTTGCTAAACACGAATTCATAAAAATCCAGGGACGTGAATTTTGGACTATATCCACAGCGCTATTCCTCATTCTAAGAGCTCACAGTCAAAGCTCAGAACATGCAAACGAACCCCTTTTCTTCATATCTCCCATACTCGGTGTGGTAGCTTGTAGAGCCTTGGGGGAATGTGTAGATCGGCTGGTTACCCTGGGCAGGTGTGTTGTAATAAAGCTATCTCTGGAGAGGGCTCTACCACCCCAAACATATTGTAGTAATTAGGAAATTCACCCAGAATAGTATCCTACATCGATTCATTGGTTCCCACTCTAGGGACCAGTCACTGAACTCGGCATGGCCCCCGGGGGCCCCCAGACGAGCTGCCAGCAAAGGTCTGCAGCAAAACCAGCGCTAGTTCTCCTCAAACACCTCCAGGGCCGTCCCCCATCTAATGGGTCACCCCCAAAGCCTGGGATCTGGAAGATCAGGCCTGAGCAGGGAAGGAGTCAGTAGCTAACACTGCAGATGTACAGGAGTCTTGAACTGGGAAATGTGGGATACGGAACAGCCCAGAACTAAAGGAACTCTGCTGCTCTCCCAGGAAGCCCTAGGCCCACCTTGACCAGACAGGCATCTCCCCTCTGGGTGTGCTCCGCGGCTGGGTTTCACTCTTGCACCAGTTCATTTTGGTTTCTAACTTTTATTCTTGGACATAGTCTGTTAGGCTAGCTGCTAATTTTATGGGTCTGGGGTGTAGCCTAGGCATCAGATTTTTAAAGCTCCCCTGGTAATCGATGCCAGACAAGATTCTAACAATAGAGGACACTTATGTTTAGGTTCTCTCGTAAGATTAAGTATCATAAGGTCAAGGAAGCAGAAATCAATTTGATTCAACCAAGATTATTAAGAACCTGGTCTATACAAGGCTTTCTACTGCTCTCCAATTTGTGACGGGGTCGGGGCGGGGAGGGGGTGGGGGAGGGGCTGGGGGCGCGCTCTGAGGTGTTAAAGCATTTACCTTAATCCCTGCACTCCAACACCTGCCCACAGCATCCGGCACAGCAGCTTGGGGAGGGTCAATCATGGACACAAGCCCCACGAAACAAAGGTTATCCATGGGAAAATTGATTTCATCTGTGTTAAACTTGAATCCCTTGGAGTGTTTGGCAGATTCAAGAAGCAGGACCCTGGAGAGCAGAAGGGACCGGTCTTCATTCAGCTGCCTATGTCCCTGTCCCGCTCACCCCAGCATCCTCCATTTTCCACCCCACAAATAGTAACCATTTTGATGCCATTCAAAGGCTTCTCCCGCAGCCGCTCACCTGGCACGCGTTCCCCCAGACCTCCCAGCTCCAAGCAGGCATTCTGGAAGGCTTCCTTCATCTCGTCATCCATTGGGCACTTCTGCCCTTTCAGAAGGTAACTTGTGCAGAACTCCAGGATCCCCTCGGGAGCCCCCTTCACCATCAGCAGCACGTGGCCCTGGGAGGTGTCCTCCTGAAGGTGGATGGACATCTAGGGAGGGGAAGCAGATTCCAGAAGGAGGCAGACTCCTGCTCCCCGGGCCCCCCAGCCTGCTGACACTTGCATGTGGGGTGTCCAGGCCATTCTCCGCCAGCCTGGGAGGTGACGGCAGAACCAGGTGCTCGCACTTCCCCAGCTTCCTCCCCACCTGGAGAGCAGAAAGCACGTGGTGGCTGGCAAAGCTGCAGGGTAGACTGGTAGGAAAAGCTTTCCCAGGCCAGCAGGAGAGCTCTCTGACCTCAGGTGAGGCGGTTTCACCCCTCAAAACCACGGTTCCTTTGATAAAATATAGAGGGTTCTGCATTGCCAACTTCATTGGGCTTTTATGAGCCGTAATATTTGCAAAAAGCACTTAGAAAACTGTGAAGCACAATTCAGAACTAGGCTAGTCGTTCTAGTCCCCTTGCTGCTGTCTCCCGAGAGGGCCTGGATGGCACGGGGTGGGGTCAGGGTCGGGTGGTGTGGTGGGGAGGGGAGGGCATATTCATGAAGTGAACCTGAGGAGGGGAGAGAATAAGACCAATTTTGGTTTTGCATTTTCCCTTTGATCTCTGATCGGTGAAAAGGAGCTATCTACGGGGTTCCTCCTGTGACGTGAACAACAGGAAATTCCTGCCATGAAGCCTGTCGGTAACAAAATCAGCACCCTAAAAGGTGATGCGCTGGTGCAGAGGAGGCCTGCACTGCCCGGAAGGATAAGCAGGGTGGGAAAACTGTGTAAAATGAGGTGAGTTTTAGAAAAAACTGGGAAGAATGTGAAAATAGACTCAAAATATGCTTAAGCAATTAAGCAGGAAACCCTTAAGTCATTTAGGCAAAAAGCTGTAAAAGGTTTTTAAAGGCTTAATTCTCTGAGTGCTTAACAAAGATTCGTTCACTATTATTGGCGATTATTGGAGATAATAGCAAGACCTACTTAAGCTAGTAACTTGGTCACAGAAAAATCACATCTTGATGGAAGATGACAGTTTCACAAAAAGGAGAAATCTGGTAACATCAACAGAGAATCGTCTCCCTTTCATTTCAGTCTCAGAGAAGTGACACTAATTCTGCAGACGACGACCAGTGCGCTGTTGTACCCCATGTGGACCCGAGCCCAGTACCCTAATGGCAAGCTCTTTAGGGCCACCAGGAGGCAAAGTAACCGCATGTTTTCCAAGGTGCCTCCCCCAAACAGGACCTGCAAGAGCTGGCTGGTGGTGGGCTGGTGGAGCACACGTGGTATCTACAGAGGAAGAAATTGCCATTTGAACTTAATGGTCAATAGTTGAGAAAAGGCACTAACAGTCATTTTGGGGAAAGTTGCTGCTTTGTTAGACCTTCCAACAAATATCGTGGACATATTTTGCTTTTATTTTGAATCATGTGGAGAGAGAGGTATCGAATTCTTTCCAGTCATAGGCTTTAGTTGGGCCCCGCCAAGTGCAAAATTCCTGTCTGGGTAGTGAGGCCACTAACTGTCAGAAAAAAGTAGAAATCAGTTTTCAGTTTGAGCCTAGGAGACCTATCTTATTACACTGACTGAAAGCCAGTTGAGACAAAACTCTGGACCTATTCCTTTAACTCTTACTTGCTCGGTGTTCAGTGTGAAACTATAGGTGATTGGGGTTTTAAAAACCTACATAGCTTTGTTATTATGGTTTAATTCAGTTACAATTCTTTTCTTGTGATGAAAACTTCCAAGATCTATTATTTAGCAACTTTCAAATAGAAAAATGCGGGACGCTTCCCCAGTTGGTATGTCGTGCTTGGGCAGGGGCCACGCGAATCTTCTCTGGATCATTCCAATTTTGGTATATGTGCTGCCGAAACGAGCATGATGATGTGTTTTTTAAGGCAGAAAAAACAAAACTGGGGGTCTCATTTCTTCTCTGTTACCCACACCTGAACATCTGACCTTTATGGTAGCGTGTGAACTTGGAGAATTCCACTCCCCTGAGCAAATCCCGATTGCCCTGCAGAACGCAAACTCCAGCTGGTAGAGCCCCAGTCGGGGCAAGGGTGCAGCCCCTGCTTTCCACCATAACCCCCTTCAGAGGATGCTGGGAGTCTCCTGGGAGAGGAACATGGGCTTTCCTGTCCCTCTCGTGGTCTCACTGTTAGTGCCCCCACTGTCCCCCGCTCAGCATGTCTCCTCTTGTCACTGCTCCCTGGATAATGGACAAAATGCTCCTGAGAAATGAAAAATGTCACAAACATACTGGAGACCCCTGATTCACTCCCTGAGGGCAGCTGCTAGAAGTGCAGGCAGGGACCAAAAGGGACCACTTGGTGACTAGTGCAGGAAGGCGCTTCGGGGAAGCAGCGGCAAAGCTTGCCGAGGCCACAGGGATGCCCCCTGACGGCTGCACGTGACTCACACCTGACGCTCACCCTCCCACCCCGCCTTTGCTCCCTACCAACACGGCAGATGACCTGCTCTCTCCATGAATGGCATGGCCGCAGCTCTGCTCGGGACTGACGGCCTCTTCCTTTGTCACCTACTCCCTCCTGGCACCTGTCCGTCAGGTGAGCCTTCCTGCTAGTTGGGACGCTGGCTAGCCACTGTGTCTGTTCCATCGCTCAGAGGTGAAGCTGGAGGCAAAGGCCAAGCTCCCGGAATGGCAAGCCCCTCCCTGCCCCCCATTCTCCTCCCGTTGCTGTCCCATACCTGGTACTTGTTGGTAGAATTAAAGGGTATCTCTGCCACCTTGGGGCTTTTCTCTCTCATCTCCTGCGCAGAGCCGTAAGACTGCTCGATGAACTTGAGGAGGGCCGACTCGGAAGCATCGCCTCTCGTGGCCCGCTGCCAGGGTGGGGTTTGTGCAAGCAGCCTGAGGAGCGAGGCACCTCGGCTTGCCCGCGATGACAAGGAGGGGGACAGCAGGGAGGGCCTGGGGGAGATTTTTTTGGGAGAGGCAGGTTATGGCCCAGACACGGAGGCACCCTCCATCCACTTAGGCCGGACACCTTAAGTCAGCCCGGTTGCAGAGGCCAGCGATTCTGTCCAGGATAACCCAGGTCTCAGAGCCCTTGGCAAACATATTCCAGGCAGAAAGAACAGACTTGTGAGCAGGGAACAGGAGACCTTAAAGCCAGGAGTTATTCCCGTCCCACTCAGCCCTCGAGTAGACATTTCATGCCCATCACACCTCCCCTGGCTCCCCAGCTGTCTTCTCTCTGACCAGGCTCCCCTCTACCCCTCAACCCACTCATCACGTCCCCCAGATCCCTCCCCTCCTGGCCCACCAGCACCACTAGTCACCAGTCTGTTCTTTGCTGGTGTCAGCCTCATATATGGTCTTATCGAACCACAGGTGGGCGACGGTCATGCGGTTCTGGGTGAGGGTGCCCGTCTTGTCTGAGCAGATGGTGGACGTGGAGCCCAGTGTCTCCACGGCCTCCAGGTTCTTCACAGGGCAGTTCTTGTGGACCATGTGCTTGGCAGTCAGGGTCAGACACACCTAAGGCCATGGAGAGAGGAGAGAACAGGTGGGGAGAAGAGACTGGCCACTCACACCACATTGTGTTGGGGAAATCAGATCGCTTTTATTGCTATTTTCATTTTGTGTACTTATTTCCCTTGGGTTGCTGGAAATGTTATCTGGGGCTGTGGTGAAGGAAATTAGGAAAGTGGTTTTTGGTTTGTGCTTTCTGGCAGAGTTTCAGAAAAAGAGGTTTTCCCTCCCCCAGGGTAACAGAGAGAAATCTCCTATTTCCCCTGGAATCCTCGGCTTCCCCGTGATCCTCGCATCTTCTCCGTTCAGCAGCCTCTTTTCAGGTCCCACCTTGTTCTCAAACCCAGTCTCTCCAGGAACCACATCGATAGCTAACCTTTCACTGTGGTGTGTGTGTGGAGGTGGGTCATACTAGTCATTAACAAAATAAAAGAATGGAGAGCAGAGAATAATGAAACCAAAAAGGAAAAAGAGCAGAACTGAAAGGACTTGAGAAATAACTTAAACTGTCAGATTTTTGCTGACCATAAATTCAAGTGTAGCAAGGTCATTTTAAAGGCTAATTCAGCTGTGGTTATGTAAGTACAGAATTCTAATCATGAGGTTTGATTTCTTTACGTATCACCAGTCCCGATATTTTCGTGCTAGTGCAACCACACCCCGAGAATTATTCTCATGTCTGTTTCAAGAAGGATATCGATAAGTTGGGGTACAGCCAAGCTGGGGATCAGGAAGAGTGTGCCATGTGAGGAATGGCCGACGCAAAAGGGACCGTTTCAGTTCTCAGGTGGAACGTTCAGGGGCACAGGATGGCTACTTGTCGAACACTAAAGGGTAGTTTGCAGAAGAGGGAGAATTGACTTGTTTTGTATTTCTCGAGATGGGAAAACTGGGACCAAACCGGGCATCATATTTCCACTGGACACAATGACATCCAGGGGGAGCAGCCCAACGCTGACATGGACAGACGCAAAGAGGGCGCCTGTGCCTAGGGACAATCATCACCTCCTGCGGATTTTATACGGGATATTCAGCACGGCTGAGAGGTTGGATTTATATGGGGCTTTGCAGTTCTTCCCAATGGTATTGTGTAATTCTGAATTCTTCTTCCTCCATGCACCGATGGGTGAATTGAGGCCTGGAGACATTACACGACTCAGCCAAGCTCACCTGCCAATACACCCAGGACTGGAACTCACTCCTGGTGACTTACAACCTGATGCTTTCTCCATCAGAAGTCGTCCTGTCTCAGTGAGTAGAAAGAAAAGGCACCAGAAAATATGGGTGCAGGGTGTTAGGGTCATGCGGAGGCCGAACGATTTGACACCTGTGTTGCCATCAGCACACCCTGTCCTTGATGTTCATTTCTCTGGGTTGGTGTGTCTGCCGTGAGGCCACCCTCCACCCTGGCTACTCACAGTGACAGTGGCCAGCAGCCACTCAGGCACATTGGCCACAATGATGCCAATAAGAAAAATGACAGCTTCCAGCCAGCCGTAGCCCAGGAGAAGCGAGAGCCCAAAGAAAGAGATGCCCAAGAAGATGGCCACTGCTGTGATCAGATGGATGAAGTGCCCGATCCCAACAGCAATGGGCGTCCTGCCGACAGCCAGGCCTGCCGTCAGGGAGGCGATGCGGCCCATCTCCGTGGAGTCCCCGGTAGCACTCACAACGCCCTGGGCTGCTGCGGGTGTAGGGGGGACTCAATTGGGAAGCCTGTAGGATTCGGTTCCTACAAAGAGAGAGCTGTCAGTGGTCAAAAACAAGGTGGAAAGCAGGCTCCCTGAGGGGGTATTATGTTCCATTCCCTCTTACTGCGGTTTTATACAGGTAAGGGTCTCCTAGCCTGAAACCCCCTGAAGGGTTTTCACAGCTCTCCAGAGACACAGAGATACCTGGTTTCACGGCCTGGTTGCCTCCCTTGTCAAGAAGGTCTTCCACCCGCTTCATCTAAATATCTTCCACTGCCCACACACTTCCACTGCCCCCAGCAGCTGAATAGCTTAGATCAGCAGGCGCGATGGTTACCCTTCTGCTAGAGCCTTATGTTCCAACGGCCCCTGATCCCCTAGCCCTGTGGGCCTCACCCAGGGGCACCTTGCCCTGCCCCAGGGCACGCTTGGCAATGTCTGGAGATGCGTCTTGGTCGTCACAGCACAGGAGGGGGGCAGCTGCTGCTGGCGTCTAGTGGGTAGAGCCCAGGGGCGCTGCTAAACGTCCTGTATTGCCTGGGGCAGGCCTCCTCTCACCCAACCACGAAGAATTATCCTGCCCAAACGTCCCCAGCGCTGGAGGTTGAGAAACGCAGCGCGACCGGACGTCCCTTCTAGCTCGGCTGGCTAGAGCCAGTCTGACCCCTGCTGGGTGACACAAGTGTAACAGCTGGGCTTCTGCGCTTTTCTCTCCAGCCGAAAGAGAACTTGGACATCGTGTTTGACTTTACACACCTACACGGCACAGGCCACTCACCTCCGTGGCTGGAAAGAAGGGTCCGATAAAGTTCTTTGCTCAGATAATCCTTCCTTCTTTGCCTTAACGGCTGACATTCAAGACACAGTCTATATCTCCCAGAAAAGCAACATATTACAGGAATAACACTTATTTTTTTAGAATCAGAAAGACTCAGGGCCGGAAATTCAACTTTCCAACATACTAATTTCCCCTCTTTGCCCTGGAGAAAGCTACTTAAACCCTCTGAGACTCAGGTTACCTCACCTGTAAAATGGGATGAAGGTACCCACAAAGCTGTGAAGACTAAATGTGTTTAAAAGAGCCTAGAACCTGGCTGGGCACATGGCAGGCATCTTCATGTAGATGAATCTAGGGTCTCTAGAAGAACCGATGCAGAACCACACATGTGACTTAGGGGTAGTCCTAGTCTGGCAACTCCACAAATGTGGTGACACAGAGCAGGTGGCCCATTTCCAAGGTCACCTTCAGCTGTATGAGTCTGAGAGCGCATGGGGCAGATCGGTGTCATGTGCAAGGGTAGTTCTGGAATGCGTCCCTGTGTGAGGCACAGCACAGCACCGGACCCCCTCAGCGTGACCGGTCAGAGCTCATTCACCCAAGCTCCACCTCTTGGCCACATCTTAGGTCCCGCTCCTATTAAGGCCTCCTTCATTCAAGCCAGACCCTTGTTTCTCAGAGGGATGACCATCCCCTGCTTTTTCCCTTATCGCAGCATATACTTTATGGATGAAAACCTACTTTTCAGGGACAAATCTGAGCAAATTTCTTTCTAAAATTAATAATTGAAATGTAGTGTTTTTGGAGGAAGTTTGCTAACTCACATCTTTCTGTCCATATTTAAAAAGGTTGTATTTTCATACATGATTCTATTTTCTAGTTGGATTCTTCTTCAGTCTTAATGTTACTCTTATCCCCCAAGGTATTTTCAACTTAAATAATTTACAGCCAGAGAGGTCATTAGCTAGCTTTATTCTAGAGAAAGTTCTGTGGAAAGAGCAGGGGCCTTGGGGATAGACCTGCCTTAGGATCCTTGACCTGCTTCTTTTCTGTTGAGTTGTGCTCTTGGATACTGCATTTAATTTCTCTGGGCCTTAGTCGTTCACGTGTAAAATGGAGATAATATTTGTTGTATAATGCTGTGAGAATCACAGAGATCTGTAGCACTGGACAAGTATTAGGTAGGCATTCAATTAAAAATAGCTGTTGCTTAGATACTTGAGCATTTATTCTTAAGCATGAATAATGGTTTTCATGTGTGTCCCAGAAAGTCTTGCAGGCCTCTGTGAGGGGGAAGGATGAAGGAGACGTTGACATGGTGATATGAAGTCCGTTGTTACCACCTCAGCCAGAATGGCCTCCCAGTTCAAGGATGCCCCAGATTCTTGGAGCAAAGTCAAGGTGTGAGCGGCACCTCTGGTAACTCAACTTTCCAGTGCCAATACCCATCTTGGAATAGTGAGAAGTTAGGGCTTACCTCAGGAGAATGACCTCGCAGGGCTGAATAATTTTCTCTCTTTCTGTGCAATTTTCAGCTCAGAGAGCATAGTTCATTCACTAGCTTGAATAATAACAGCTAACGATTATAGGATGCTTACAATGTGTTAGGTCTCATGCTAAGCATTTTATATGTATCTTCTCATTTAATCTGCATAAAAATCTACAGAGTAGTGACTTTTAGCATCTCACTGTGCAAATGTAGAAATGATGGCCTGACCTTTCACCAAAGGTCACACAGTTTATGGGTGTTGGAGAATCTAGATTGCTGAACCAGCTGTCACCCACCCTACTACCTTTAGAAGATAGTGAGTTCTTGAAATCTTTGTTTCAATTTCTGTTTTTGAATCGAGCCTGTTTATGATGCGATATTCACCTTCCACACAGTTGGTAGAGAAGAAGCAGATGTTTTGGGTCTTCAGGGGGTTCTCATGGGTGAACTCAGGGGAGCGGGATTGGGGCTCTGACTCGCCAGTCAAGGATGAGTTGTCCACCTGGGATGGGAGAGAGGAGGGGTCTTGAAGTGATCATGGGAACCAAGATTCACTTATAACGATGACACATCTTTATCTGCTACCAACATCATTGTTACTGACATGCAGAGAGAAACATAAATTTTGATACCAGCACCTTACTGTCTCTAACCCTGAATTTGCACTGAATAATATGATCCAGGTTCTGAATAATATGATCATACTTTCTTTAACTGAGCCCCGATCAGCACAGTGCCCTAAGACCACACTTGGCCCCCTCCCATTGCTTCCCACATCACCACACCTTACATCCCTGTGCAGAGATGACCCGGATGTTAGAGGGGATTCCGTCTTCCCCCTTCACTTCTACCAGGTCTCCTAGCACCACGTCTTGTGCATTGATCTGCATCTTCTCTCCACCTCGAATAACCAGAGCCTGCTGTGGGAAGACAGCACAGGGTCATTTCCAAAGCTTTTGGCTTCCCCCATTCCCACTCCTGGCCTATAACCTCCTGTTCCTGGTCCCCTTTATTCTGATTCCCCTTTTGTACATCATTCCTGAAGTTCTCTGGTAGATTACAAATTCTTACCATTGCTGCCTGCAGGGCCCTTTGCAACATGACTTTGATGCTCTTCTCATGAAGAGAGGAGGTTTCGTTCTTCAACCCTACACTTAGGCCATATGCTTGCTTTGGCCTATAGGACATTTAGCAAATGTACAAGCAGAGGCTTAAAAAGTGCTTGCACACTGGGGCTTGCCCAGCTGTCACTGGGAACCCTTCTGCCACCATACCGAACAAGCCCAAGCTAGCTTCCTGGAGGAAGACACACCAAGGGAACACCACGTCCCAGTCACGTCACTGAAGCTGCAGACACACGCATGAGGCCATCATAGACCATCCAGCACCAGCCAAGGTCAGCCCAGATCAGAAGAGCAGCCCAGCCAAAAAACTGTGAGAAAGGCTATGTTTGCTGTTTTGAGCCATGAGGTTTTGGGGTGCTTTGTTAGCAGCAAAACCTAACTGAGAGCCTCCGGACTCTACTTCACGCTACCAAAACATTCCCCCAGAACTCTTATTCGAGGAAGGAATCAAGTTATATTGATGCCAAAGGAGAAGATCCTGTGGTGACAGAACATGATCACATGGCTGGAGAATTTTGGAAGCTGCTCCTTTCCAAGTTTCTGGTTCTGTGCCTAGGAACCTCTTTCTACTGTCATATTAGTTCCAGGCACTTTAAAGATGTTTATTTGAAAATGATTTAAACTTGCAGAAAAGTTGCAAGAATGAAAATTGTAACCAGAACCCCTGTATTACCTGTGCCCAGGCTCCCCTGTTAACATTTTACCCCACTGGTTTGTCATGTGTTCTTCTCTGCATGTGTGTGTATATGAACATGTTTTTTCCTGAACTCTTTTAGGGTAAGTTACGTACATTGTGATCTTTCTTCCTACAAACTTCAGGGTTTTTATACATATATGTGTATATATATAAACTCATATATTAAAACATATATAAAGTAACCATATATATATAAAATGAACATATATATGTATTAAATAAGCACAATACAGTTACCAATTTTTGCAAATTTCACACTGACACAATACTTTAATCTACGGTCTGTATTTCAGTTTTGTCCATTGACCCAACATATCCTTTACAAGAATTATTTTCTCCTCCAGCACAGGATTCGTCTAGGGCCAGGTATTGCATTTCATTGTCAGTAGCCTCCTTTAATCTGGAACATTTACTTGCACGAATGTTCTTTGTCTTTAAGGTCACTGGATTCTGAAGAGTTCTCCCTCCCCAACCCTCTTTGCCCCCTACCTCTGTGGGAACCGGGTGTTCTTATTTCGGGTTTCAGATTGTGCCCGTTAGATTCAGGTTATGCGTTCTCGACCAGACTCTGTGCAGGTGATGCATCATGCTTGGGGTATTTTTAAGTCCTGATGGAGCAAATCTAAGTGAACGTGCCCCACATCACCAGGCTCTCTAAGCTCACTCACCAGGGGACGGAATTCTCCAGGGAACTTATAAACTGTGCATTTGCCCACACTCTACACCCGCCTCTCACTAGCTCCTCCCACACCAACCCTACCTGAGGCACCATGTTCTTAAAAGACTCCATGATGTTGGAGCTCTTGGCCTCCTGACAGTAGGAGAAGCAGCCAGTGATGATAACCACAACAGAGAGTGCGATGCCGAGGAACAGCTGGCGTTGGGGAAACAAAGCGCCCATCAGTAGGTCCTTTTCTTCCTCTTCCTCCTCAGAAAATCAGCTTGCAAGGGTAACAGCCATTGCTCCGGGTGGAGGGGACCACAGGCCTAAGCTGGAGAGCACAGGGGCTGAGGAGAGACTGAGGCAGGACTTCCCCGTGAAGGGACCCTGAGCTACGGTGAGGGGCCGGCAACATCCCAGGTGGAGAAAGCTTGCGCCTTCCTCTCCAGGAAGCCATTTGTGGGGTGTGGGATGGATAGTGAGGGAGACGGGGAGAAAGGAGATAAAGAGAAGTTCTGGAAAGGGGACTGCAGACCGCTTTGATGGTCAGGAAGATGATCAAAGGAGAGCAAGTCTTCTGTGAACAACCATGTATCTCAGGGGGCGGAATCAATGGCTCTCTGGGGAAACTAGGAGGGACCAGGGGCTCCCTTAGAAAACTCTGGGAACACTAGGGATTTGGACTGGAGAACTCCAGGGGCACCAGGCTGCTGAACGAAATAATATCAGGTGCTCTACAGGGTCTGGGCTGGGCTGTAGCAGTTGAAGACTCACATTATCTTTGGTGGGATCCTCGTGGAAATATATCTGGATGCCATAGGCCAGGAAACAGAGATGGCACCAGTCCACAGCAGGACGGAGAAACCACCAAACAGTTGTTTGCAGAATTTGACCCATTCTGGAGTGGTGGGGGGTGGGGTAAGTGTATTGGGTCCGTCTCAATTCAGATTTCCCATGCCTTTTCTGGGCTAAGGCCCTGTGTGGAGAAGAAAAAGGAATGGATGAAATATGACAAGTGAAGCAGTTACAGTAAAGGGGAACCTGGCTTCAAAACTCAGATTTTACTCTTTAGAGCCCTCTAGGCTGGGACTAGGGGCCAGTGAAGCTGTCTGGAGGTCTGTCTGGAAGTTCCTCCTAGGTAAGTGGGATGTGAAAATTAACATTATAGAAGGGATGTTTATTATAGCATGCTTACATAAGAAGGATTTGTTGTTTATGAATTGATGCACAAACCATTTTGAACACATACCTTGGGCCTGGTACCATGGTAGGAACCAAAATGAGTATGAACAGTCCCGACCCTAACGGAGCTTCAATTGTAGTGGAGATCATTATAAAAAAACAGTTTATAATATGATGGGCAAGGCTAATGGAATGATGAGATACAATATATAATGTGGGTTAAGACATTCACACTTTGATTCTTTAACAGAAGTAGGAAAAAAATACCAACTAAATTTGTGAATGCACAGATTCTCACGCTTGCCTCGTTCACAAGTTTGTACGCTTTTTCCTCTCCATGAAAGAGATAGTGAAACCCACAGAGAATCGTAAAACAAACTCTCCCTAATCCCCATCAAGTACTCACCAGCTTCCCCCTGAAAAGCATACAGTTTTAACCAATATGAGACAATTCTCCAATGCTCCTCCCTGGTACCAGGTGAAACCTCGCCAATGGAGAAATTCTAGAAGAGAACCTTACAGTTTGAGGGCCTTCATTTGTGGCCATTGTATTGGCAGTTATAGCCCCGGTGCTGGCACTGGGAATAGTAGTTAAACCAGTGGTTCTCAAGGAGCTGTTTGGGGACCCTTTCAGGCAGCCCATAAGGTCGAACATAATAATAATAAACTGTTTGCCTTTTTCCGTCTCATTCCCTTGAATGTACAGTGTCATTTTCCAAAGGCTACATGACACACGATATGACAACAGATTGAATGCTGAAATTATATGAAAATCCAGCTGTCTTCTATTAAAAAGCTAGACCTTAAAGAGCTTTGTAAAATTGTAAAATACCACAGCATTGTTTGCTTTTAGAAACATAGTTATTTGTCATAAAAGTATTATTTTTACTAATATGATATGGGTTTGCCCTTGTTCCTAAACGAGTTGGGAGATATTTTTAGATTTTTCTCCATTTTAACCTCTAATACAGTAAATACAGGTAGACAGACGTAAGGCACATAAGCAAAAGTTCTTTGGGGTCCTTGATCAGTTATAAGAGTGTGAAGGGGCCCTGAAGACGGAGGTCCGAGGAGCGCCGCCGTAGGCTGTTCTCACTCTCTTAGCAAAGCTGAACTCTTGGGGGCCGTTGGCATTTTCTTCCGAGTGCACGCGGTGGAGCTTGGCGGGGCAGAGGTTAGGGGTAAGGCCCTGAACTCCAAGCTGGGGGGCTTGATTTCTACCTCCCCGTCCGTGCAGGAAGCCTGCAAGTCCCCAAGGCCCCTTGCCTCCCTCGGGGGGTCGTCACTCACCTTTGTCAGGTTCACGGAATACTTGGTGCTCAGCTCTGCCAAGGTGAATTTGTGATCATCCTGAGAGGACAAACGGAAGGCCCGGACTCCCGGGGGTGCCCGGCGGCTCATGAGGCAGGCGCCCCGCCGGGGAGCACCTCCCACGCCCCCACGGGCAGCTCTCAGCTTTAGGTCATCAGACCGCAGAATCAGTCACACCTGGGCTTTTTAACCAGTCCTGGGCGTGGATCCTGCCTCCTCCGCTTACCAGCTGTGTGGCTTCGAGCAAGTTACCGCACCTCTCTGTGCCCCTCTTCCCTCATCCGTAGAGGGGGGCCATCTACCTCAGAAGGCGGCAAGAGGGAGAATGAAAGCAAAGTGCTGTATGTAGAAAGCACTGTCTGACATAGTATGTGCTCAGTAAACAGCTTGAATGAAGTTATTAGTGGCTTACTGTGCAGCTCTTCTCAAAGTAAAAATAGGCTCTTCCCTGTGATAACATTGTATTTCCTCATTTGAATGTGACATACTTCTCTCTTCCATTCACCGCCCTTGACATCTCAGTATGTGGTTTGACTTTATTAACTTTATGCTGTGTTTTAAGTGTAAATTATACCCTACCTCCTTCCAAGAAGGATCTGAAGCAGTTATATGCTCCTATCCTTCATATATTTTTCAGTTAGGCCTCTCACATACATTTTCCTTTTCTGTTGTTTGATATTTATTTACTTGCATTTTGGTTTGGCATGCTTTTAAAAAATATGACCATCTCGGAGCTGATACAATCCTTCAACTTCAGAAATAGAAACTTCCCTTCCCACCTGAGACAAATGGTAGGTAGTCTGTGACCTTAATAGTTGTATTGGATTTTCCTTCTCTGTTAAAAATGTACAAAATACACACTGAAAGTCCCGCTTGTCCTTCCAACCTTAGATTCCCCACCACTGTCATGACTATGCCTGTCTTTCCAGTCTTTTTTCTGTGCGTATACAAATAGAAACCTAAAAGGCGATATATTCTTTATTGTCAGAGAATCATTCAATTCCCTTTTCATTTATCAGTTTGTCATGTATGTGAAGCTCTTTTTAGAGCGGCTGCAGGCATTCCACATTTGGTCTATTCAATCATGCCCACTACTGAAGGATTTTTATGGTATTTTCCATATTCTTTTTAATCATTAGAAACATTGTTGCAGTGGCATCTTTATATAGTACCTTTCGGTCTTTGTGCTTTAATTTCTGTAGAATCGATTCCTGTTGCTGAATCATAGGATACTCTTTAAAATCTTAAAAGAGATTCTGTCAGATTGCTTTCCAATGGGCTCTGTCTATATCCCAGCAACAAGATGCAGCAGGGTCCACTCCTCAGGCTGTCGATTACACGGGATGACCTTGATCTTTACATTTTAACTATTATAATCAGTGAAAGTTGGTATCTTATAGTTCTAATTTGCATTGCCTTATTGTCGAGGAGGGCATTTTTTGTTATATTTATTGGTTTTCTGGATTTCATTATTCTTTTTGTGAGTAGTTGTTCTTATTTGCTCAATTTCCATTGTTTTCTTTTTCTTATTGATCTGTAGGAGCCTGTTGTCATATATATTACAAATACTTTCTCCAGTCTTTGTGTTTAGTATAGATCATAGAATCCTTAAGAGCAAGGTCAGAATTAAAGTTAAAATTACCAAGCTTATCTATGCACAATACTCAGCCCAGCCTGGCATGTAGGAGGCCCCCCAAAACAACTTTATCAACATGTGATCAATTGAAATTATTTTTGGAAATACCATTCTGTTCCACAGATCTTAGCTCAAAAGCTTACCTCTTCTGGCCTCTCTGATTGTCTAATCCAAAGTAGCCCCTCCCACTCAGCCCTCAATCCATTGCTTGGGGTCTTTACTGCACTTTACACACTCTGAAATTATCCTGTCCATTTATCTGTTGACTTGTTAATTGTCCATTTCTCCGTGACCAGCGGGGATCTTTCCTGGCTTGGCTGTATATCCGGCTCCTAGAAGAGCACAGAGTGGTTGGTCCTCAAATAGTTCCTGAAAAGATGTTGAATGAATTATAACTTTTCAGGTTTTATCCTAATGTTATAAGGTGTGGTCTGTTATGTTTTAAAAATCTGTTAGGGTAAATATGCTGGATCACAGTTATCTACTCATTTGCTTCATAATTACTCATTAAAAAACTCGATATTCTTGCCTGATCATTCTTGGCAGTTAAATGTCACAACCAATATGTCATGTTTTATAAAAATACAGTGAGGGTTTTAATTGTTATTGGACTGACTCTTCATAGCAACTTATTTTTATCTTTACTACATCTGTCTTCCCGAACAAGCAGTGGATTTAGCTCTCCATGTATTCATGTTTTTCGTATTTTCATTATGCCTTTAATAAGTGCCATATGTTGCACATAATAATCTTTTTGTTTTATTAAGGTATCACTGATACACAATCTTATGAAGGTTTCACATGAGCAACATTGTGATTACAACATTCACCCATATTATCAAGTCCCCCCGACCCCACTGCAGTCGCTGTCCATCAGCATAGTGAGATGCTATACAGAGACTACTTGTCCTCTGTGTGCTGTACTGCCTTCCCCATGACCCACCTATATTATGCACATGATAATCTTGAGTGTGATTTGTTTTTGTTCTGTTGTAAATAGAAGTTGTTTATATTATATTCTCTATCTCACTAGTAGTTAGGGATACATCTGATTTTTTAAAAAATTGATATCTCATATACCCTGTAACTTTGAACTCATTGCTTCTAGGACGTTTTGTTGCTATTACTTTGTTTTGATTGATTTCCTTGGATTTGTTAGGTATTTAATCATGTCCTTTACCAAAAGTGTTTTTATTTCTTCTAGTTTGTCTCTTTATTTAGACCATTTAAATACAAACTCCTTATCCAAGACTCCAAGTGTTAATTTCTATTGCTTTTGTTTTCGTTGCAAGTATAGTTTTCTAGACTTACTAGATCCCTTCTTCTCTGCTCTGAATAGGACTGCATTTTTCTATATGCTTTTTCCTCTAACATTTTAATCAAGAATAGAAGCTGAATTTTACTGATAATCTTCTCAACATCTTTTGAAATGATTATGTAATCATTTTTCTAGTGAATGTTTTCCATATAACATGTTGTCCTTGCATTCCAATATTTAGTGGTAGTTAAGCCATTATATATACATTTTATTTAATTTATCAAGACTATATTTGTCTCACAAAATTAGAGCAATGAAAAATTCTCTTCTACATTCTAGTATAGTTGAAATAATATAAGGATATTCACTGAGCAATTTGGAAAAAATTCTCCACTGAATTCACTGGAGGCAAGGATATTTTTGAAATATCCTTTCAAAATGTCTTCCCTTGGTGTTGATCTAATCATTTCCCCCTATTTTTTTGCTGCATTCTTAGCATTATGAATATTTAGCTTGTTGTGTCTCTAATGCATCATCACATCTCCTATTCTGCAGATAAAAATGAAATGCCATGAAAAGCATCCCTGCCTGGGGTCAGAAGTTGGCCCCAATGTTGAACACTACATCCTATAGGAAGGTTCTCTCGCCTCATCACCAAGATCCTCCCGCAGATTGTTGAATCTCTTTGTATCTTGTTCCTTAACCCCTTACTGCATCTTAGGATCATGCTCTCTCCCTCTGTCTTGTTCTAACCACGAGGGTCTGCCCAGCCCAAACTGCTCAGATCCCTGCTCTGTGCACAAATCCCTGGCTCCCTCCCAGCCTCCCCAGCTCAGCAAACCAAGGGGCAAATCAGGCTCCCTCTGCACCCACAGGCTGCTGTCCCTGCAGTAGCAGTGAGCACGGTGTGGGGGAGAAGAGGGCTGGCCTGCAGCCAGACTCTTCTAGGTTTGAATCCTGACTCTAATGCTCACCATCTTTGAAACCTTGGATACATAACTGAACCTTTCTGAGCCTTACTTTTCTCCTCTGTAAATTAAAGGCAACCATAGTCTCCACTTCACTGGATCATGAGAATTCTTTCAGTCATTCAACCAATATTTATTAATTGCCTGATATGTGCCAGGCATAGCTTTAGGTGACAAAAATAAAGGTAGTGAACAAAAGGGAAAGAATCCCTGTGTGCATGGAACTTACTCTAGAGAAAAGCCACACAAATAAAAAAGTATAAACAACAATTATATATACAAAATTACATATATGTATTTGAATTATATGTATGTATTTTTATTCATTATCATCTATTTATCTGTGTAAATTTGAGGGAGTAAGCATTTATGCATGAAAACAAAGAGAATGGGAAAAGAGGTGCCAGAAGTGTGATTTTCTTTGGAGTGGTCTGTGAGGGCCTTTCTGAGAAGGTAATCCCCCCAAAACCGTCTGAAGGAAGGGGAGAAGCCAGACATGTGAATAATAAAGGCCCTGATTATTGTGGCATTCTTTACAGACATGTAACTTCAGTACTGTCATTAAATAATTGTTCATGTTCATGAACTTCATTTGGAGCCTCTTGTTTATATAGTTTATGCTGCTTCTTGTGAATGTTAATGTTCCCTCATAGGACAAGCTGGTAGTAGAAGCAAAGAAAAAGTGTTAGATACCATTTTATGTTCTGCTGAAGATCAAATAAAGTAGTATTGCCCCATATCATAGCGTCAGTCTTGTAATAAAGTTTCAAATTTTAACTTAACATCATAGCTTTATTTTTCATATTAAACCAGGTTCAATGGGGGGGGCAGGAAATAAAGGCCCTGGAGTGGGATTCATTGAGACCATACGAATAAAGGTGTGACGCAGTCATGGCGCAAAGGGGTCTGCTCTTTGTGCTCCCACAGCCACTCCTGCAATCAAGGGGCCAAGGCCGCCTTCCGACTGGTATCCAAGACCCTGGCCTGGGGTTGTAAGGGTTGGTATCTTCCTCTTTCGGTTTCCCTGGTACCTCCGAGGAGGGCACACACCCAGCCACGCGTCCATCTCCACACACAAGCAAACCTCCTGGTGCACATGGCAGCCTGGACGGGAAGGTTCCCCAAATCTGCTGCTCAGGTGAATTTCAAGGATTGCACCTCCTTTTCCCTCCATACCCTAAAGACAGCACCCAGAACAGGGCTCTGCACACAGTATAGGCTGCTAAGGGGTGTTGGCTGTTGGGAGCCCTCAGCACCCCATCTTCTTCTCCCACCCTCTCAGGTTGAAAGAGGCCTGATTTTGGTCCAGAACAGAAACAGCAGAAGAGGCCCTGAGTATTTGACCCCAGTTTGATTCATAGGCCTTTCCTTGTCCGGAACAAATCTCTGTGGCTTTTGTGGCAAGTTCAGCCGTGAGGAAGGAGGCCCCGGCTCTATCTTCTTCCAGGTCACTTTGCACCCTTCTTCCCCTCTAGCTTTCTCCACTGATGCCATCAGATGATTTCCCTCCCACTCCTATTTCCTGCCTTCTCTTGATTGCTTCCTCTGTCAGCCCGGTCCTGCCACAGCCCACATTTCCCTACTGCGGTCTGGGAGGGAGGCAAGGATGAAGTACAGAACTCCGCATCATGGAAGGGATCTCTTTTTTCATAAAGAAATGTAACTTTATTGTTTTCAAGTACATATGTAGTGCTTCAAACTAACATCTTACAAAAGGTCTTGCAGATATTTTGAAAAAATACCAAAGAACTGATGATAATTAGGCCACATGCTCACTACTTCTAAATGGATAGTCCTAAAGTGCCTGAAAAGTATTGGTTTAGGTAGACTAAATATGCCACCCCTAGCAATATTATACTCTTAACTTACTAAACAAATGCCATTTTTATTGACTTGCCAAGGCAAACTTTTGTCCATAGACAATAAATCTCAGATCAATCAGGCCCAAAGTAATATGGTTTCCCATTTAGTTTTCCAAGCCCAAAGCACTGACTTATTTCAAGATACTACTGATAAAGGAAAATTCCAGTAAAAGGAAGGAATAGCCCTTGGGAGGTTGTGGGCCTGATGTGTGTCTTTTGGGCTTCCTTCCTTCTTGCCTTAGGGCTTCCATTTTTCTTGGGTGTCTCTGTCCCTTGCTCGGTTCATCTAGGTGTCTCTACAGGATGTTCCGGTGCCCTCTACGCCAGGCTTAGGGAATGGGCCGCGCTGCCTGCAGAGCCACGGGATAGGTGGAGAGGCGCAAGGGAAGGAAAAGTAGCTCACGTAGGAACCTGGCAGTAACTGCCCTTCTGGGGGAAGTGGCACAATGATCAGTGTGAAGGGTGTCTGCCCGGGGGGACCAGGCTTGCTGTCTGAGAGGTCAAAGGCAGGTCTAATGCTTTCCCTCTTGCTGTCCAGAGCTTCTGACCTTGCTTCTGACCTAAGCGGATTCTGCATGTCCCCGGAAAACAGGAGGGTTCTGGGAACTTCTCCACCCAACTTCCAGCTGATGGCCAGGGAGTGCCTTTTCCAGGGCAGGCTTGGCAGTGCCTGGGAATGACGCAGCGCACAGGATGGGCATGACGCGGAGGGGGCCAGAGGAGCAGGGAATGGACTGGCAGCTACCCTCTTGGGGGGACTTCTGAGGGCTTAGCATTCTAAAGGGCAGGGCGTTCCCAAGCGCCGTGACTGAGAGAGCTGGCACAGCTGTGACACCTGGGCCTGCTGGCCCAGACAGACCACAGACCAAGAGTCAGTGAGGACGCTGTGGCACGTGGGCATGGAATCCCATGAAGCGCCCCGCATTGCTTTCTGGTCCTGCCTCTGCTGCTGTTCTGATGACATTTGAATTTGGCCTGCCGGTAGAGTGCTCTAAAGGGCAGGTCCCAGAGCTGGAGCCCAGACATCGGTCTGGAGACCCGACCAGTCACATGTCCTGTCATTGACACTATCTTTTCATGTCCCTTTGTTGTTCCCCTCCTCTGCTGTATCCCTAGCCCCCATCAGTCTGCCCAGCTCTCTTCTAGAGGTGCCTGACTAGCCATGATGGGAAATAGGCCCTAACCTCTCCATCCAGCTTTCCTTTCTGGCCTCGGGGCCTGGCACTCACCAGAAACAACCAGGCTGGAGACGCAAGGGGACACTGGTGATCTGAGCCTGGTTCCCCTCTGGGTTTAGCAGGTGCTTGCCCTTGGGTATTGATCTGTTCTAGTGGGAGGTGGGGGTGAGGAGACAGGGAATGGGTAAAGCTGGGGTCACCTCAATTCCTCAGGGAAAGCAGACAACCTAGCGGAGTGGGGTGGAGAGGAACCTAACAGGTGGTGTGCAATCTGATTGCTCGCATTAGGTCTGCAGGCACCTACCCCGGCTTGTTTCCCCACTGCCCCAATTAGCCTGCTGAGTTGCCTCAGTCTCTCTCCCCAGAGCATCCCCTCACATCCACCCCAGTTTTTTCCACCCCTCCCCCTCCCCATCCCCCAACACCTCCAGGGCACCCCATCTTTCCCGTGCCTGGTTCTTCTTTCCAGCAGGTTCAGTAGTATGTCTCCTTCTCCACCCAGCCTGTTAGAGAGATGGGGGTAGGGGCTGCAGTGACACTTAAAAGGAGGCAGGGGGTAGGCCTCCCTGGAGCTTGGGTGGTGGCCGCCAGGTGGAGCAGAAGCCTGGGGCAGGGGGCTGAGGGGCGCGGCTGCAAGCAGGTGGAAAGGAGGGGTGGGGGGGCGGGAGGAGGTCTAGTGAGCTGGGCAGAGAGAAAGGGAAGGAGAGACTTGGGCTTTGCACAGTAGGAGGGCCTAGTGTAGGTTGTAGGCAATGCCTACAGGGACTGTTCAGGGAACCAGGGAGTTTCTGAACGGGCAACCATCCAGTGTTGCTGGCCAGAAATGTAGCCCTGGGGTTGACAGCCCTTGTGAGTTTTCAGAAGTCATACATTCGGATTTTACATGAAAGCCCCCAAGTTTTAGATATTGGGCCAAAAAAACACCCTGCACCATATGGGGCTGGCCAAACCCAACAATATTCATGGATTGGGCTTGTGGGCCATCCATGTTCAACCTCCAGTAAGTGATCAAAAATGCTTATTTGGGAAAAAAACAATACTTGTTTGATGCTTGGGAATCAGGAGGCCTGGTTTTGGGGGCCGGTTTGGCTGCTCTTTGCCTTATGAGCCTGAATCAACCAAGTCCCCACTGCACCTCTCTTTCTTTGTTCTGGTGTCCTGTGCGGCGTGCTGGAAGGCCCTGGGGGACCAGCTGTTTGTTAGGTGGACCCAGAGTCTGGGAGGAAGAGGGTGGGGAGAGGAGGCACGGCTGGGCTGGGGTGCCTGGGGCCTGGGACCCCAGGGTCAGAGGGCACCGGGGCAGGAGCAGGCCTCTGCAGTGGGGTGGGCAGTGGGCTTCGGTTGGGGCAGTGCAGGGATGCTTACCACCCGGGTACCGCCGCAGGATAAGCTTCCGGACCTCATCGTAGAGGAAGATGAGGAGGCTGTAGGGGAAGGCGCAGAACCACCAAGTGACCCTGGAAGACAGTGTCAGGAGCATCGGAGGCTGGTCGCGTCGGACCAAAGCTTGGATCCCAGAGGGGCCTTCTGGAGGGACTCACTTGAGCGGGTACATGCGGAGGGCCACCCCCATGCCCGGGCAGTAGGACAGAAAGGCGGCCAGAGCGGTCTCCTCCAGGAGCCCAAAAATCAGAATCTTGTTCCTGGAAAGGTAAAGAAAGGAGGGTAGGCAGTGTGTGATGGAAGAGTGGGGAGGGGACAGAGCCCTGGGGGCCCCTGGCGAAGGACGGGAAAGGCGAGAAGAAATGCCACCGCCTCTACCCTCTTCAGAATCCTTCGTCTCACGCGACATGTAACCGAAGAAAGATTTCTGTTAATTTGCCTGCTTGCTGACTGTACCTCCTAGTGCTGTCTATGACACACGCACTCGTTCATTAGATCAGTGTTTCTTATGTGTGCGGGTGCTGTGCTGGATCGGCTGTCTGGTCAGCAGCAAGCTTCCTCTGCAGACACGGGGTGGCCCTCACGCAGCTCACGATCTTGCTGTGGCTCCAGGCATGTGGCCTGGGACAGTGTCGTCTTCCCAGCAAGATGCTTTGAAAGCTCCTTCAGGTTGGGGCCTGTGTACGTCTTACATGTTCTCAGTGTCTCCTGCAGCCCCTGGGAGCTGTTGCTGGTAGATATTCAATAAGAAGAGGGTGTTTGTAAAATGCTTGGCCATGGGAAAGCCCACAGGTGAGTAAGTGTTAACACATGTTCACTATATCAGAACTGAGAAGCTGGGCCGAACCAGGTTCTGAGAGCAGTTTCTGGAGCCAGACAGGGGGGGTCGAGTCCCAGCTTTGCTGCTTATTAGCTTTTGGCTGTAAAGCAACATTTCTTCACTTCTCCAAGCCTCATGTTCCTTCTCTGTAGATGGAGTTAGGACCTTTGTATCATAGGACCACTGGGAAATTATGGGAGACAAAGAGTGGAAAGCTCTCGAACATGGTAAGTGCTCAAGGCACATTATAAGTCAACCTTTCATAACCTTACGCGCCTCACTGTTTGTGGCTGAAGCCAGTGGTTCCCAAGCTTTCCACTCAGTAAAGGATCCCTCTTATTTTCCTCCTATGAAGGCCACGTTTTCTCCATCTTTGTCTCTCAAGCTTCATTTGTTAATAAGTAATGAATATATTTCCCCATTTAAAATTAATTGGAAATATCCACAGCTTCCAAACAAGTGATCACTAAACTTTGTACTTTGGCTCCCGCCTGAGACTGACGGGCAGTGAGCCCAGGAGCCTTCTCGTAGGTAAGGGCCTGATTTCCACAAAGCCTGTCGATGGACGTGAAGAACATCTCTGAGGACTTCCAGGGCCCTGGGCTGGGGCCTGGGGTGCAGGCTGCCTCTGGCCGGGTTCTTGCTGGCAGTGCACCTTCCTGGTACCTGACTTCTGGTTTGTTTTGTTTCTTTGCCTTTTGCCTCTCAGATGGCTGGATTTAGCCGGTTCAGTCATGTTCTCACCTTCCTGCACCACCCGTGCTCTGTACAGCAGGCAAGTCCCAAAATGGAACACAGTTTCTTGGACTCTCCGCGCCTTATTCTCTTTCTGATACATTGTCCCCACTAGTGTCTGTGGCTTCCTGGAGGTTCCTTCCCTCGCGTCACCTCTGTTCACCTAACAGACTCCACTCTTTCCCTCCCTGGGACCTTAAGTGCTGTTAATGTCACCAGGATTTTGGCATCTTTTTTCCCTCCCTACTAGGAAATGATAACAAACCTCACTTGGGGAACTGCTTGCACTGTTTGCAGAGGAAAATGGAAGCCATGTTTTCAGCAGGCGCCACCCACCGTCCCTGCTGCAATCACAGAGTGATCGGTGCCCAGCTGGCGCCAGGCCGCACAGGTGAGCCGCCTGCGGTAGGCGTCGAGAGCCTGGGCTTTAGAAGGAGACCTAGTGACCCCTCATCAGCAGAGTGACCTCAGGCTCATCATTTAAGCTTTTCCTTGGGTGGAGACGGGAGCCTCTGGTCTGTAAAATAAAAATAATACCTACCTCACAGAGATGTGGTGAGGTTAAACCACGTCTCTGACTCACCTGGCACTGTGGCTGGCCCGGGGTAGCTCGCGCTGTGGGAAGGCATGGAGCTTGGCCCCGAGCAGCTCAGTCCCACACGCATCCCCACCACCACTGGCAAGTGTGTAAACCGGAGCTGCCTGCCGTGGGTGGGGGGTGCAGGACGCCTGTAAGCAGGGCTGCATGAAGGATGGGGGTGGGTGTCACCAGAGGCAGGGCCGAAGGAAGCGGGGAGGAAGAGGGGTGCAGAGAAGATAAGGGGGTGGCAGATGGAAGGACAGCACAATGCAGATTGCAGGAGCAGAATTAAAGCTCATCAGAAATGCTCTCCTTCGTCTCCTCTCATCTATTTCATTTAGTTAGCTGGGTAACTAAAGCCCCCCAGTGCACCTGGGCCTGGGGGAGGGAAGCCTGTGTGGCTGGTGAGCACACTCTGCCCAGGGCGGGTCGGGCTGTGGGGGGCACGCACCTCATGCCCTGCTGGAAGACGGAGTTGCGGCGGGTCTTGCAGATGATGAGGTCAGCCCACTGCACAACCACGATGCTCGCAAAGAAGGCCGTGTGGCACGTGAACTCCACCACCTTTCGCTGCTCATAGGTCTGGGAGGAGGGCGGCAGATGGAGGTGAGCATGAGAGGAAAGGGTAGGACCAGGCAGCTTGGTTAGGGCAGTGGTGAACCCCTGGGTACCTAGTCCCTACTTAGCCCCCAGTCGCAGTTGGCCCCTGCTGACCGCTCCTGCCAGGCATCGGGCCCCCTCTTGTGCACGTGCATCACACACGGCCCCACTCACCCACTCCTGTCCATAGCTGTCCTCCAGGTCATTCATGGACCGGTCATCCCAGTCGAGGCGGATTCCCAGAAGCCGTGATGGCAGGAAGCCGTTCTCGGCCAGGATCACAAAGTAGGTGAAGAAGCCACCCAGGGCCTGGATCATGCCTGTGGGTGGGGGCAGAAGGCAGGGCCTGGGCTGGAGCAGGACACAGGGTGCGACCAGCCCCACTGGGCCAGAGAAGGAAGTCCTTGGCCCTCAGGGAGTGGGCGCCGTCCTGGAATTTTGCTGGGGGCCCATCCCTCCAAAGGCCGGGAGGGAATTCTCCCGGGGCTCCCTCCCCAGCCCCAGGGCCCCAGCACACCGATCTGTCCGTAAGCCATGCTGATGAGCCTCTCATTGACCAGCTTGTCTGTCTGGGGGTTCCTCGGCTGCCGCTTCATGATGTCGCTCTCAGCTGCCTCGTAGGCCAAGGAGATGGCAGGGACCTGTGTGAGGCGGGCAGCGGGGACAGGAGGCCACTTGAAGGCAGAGGATAGGGGCAGAGGGTGAGCAGCCGCGAAGGACATTTGACCCAAGTCGGCACACATTTGTCAAGACCCTGTGGTCCTCCAGGGTGCGTGCTTGTCTTCTCTGTAAGCGTCACATCTGTCACCTGCCCCCAGAGCGCCTCTCCTTCCACCGGCTGCCCATCCCTCCCCTGCCTTGCCTGCCCCCTACGCCCCTGGCCTCACCATGTCTGTGCCCAGGTCAATGCAGAGGATGGTCACGGTGCCCAGAGGCAGGGGGATGTTGGCGATGATGAAGAGCAGGAAGGGGGTGATCTCGGGGATGTTGCTGGTCAGCGTGTACGCGATGGATTTCTTCAGGTTGTCAAAGATGAGGCGGCCTGTGGGGAGGAGGTTCTGAGGGCATCAGGGAGACTGGAGGGACCCGCCCCCACCCCCAGCCCCTGAAGACTCCTGAGGGAGATTTTGTGTTTGATGGAAGCTGAGGCAGGCGGTGGACGCCTGGGACCCTGACTGGTCCCTGTAATCGGGGTAGAAGGCCCGGGAGGCCGGGGTGCTGGCTTCAGACGGCCTGCACCCCGGGAGACCCCCCCAGCCCGCGAGCCCCTCACCCTCCTCCACGCCCGTGACGATGGAGGCGAAGTTGTCGTCCAGCAGAATCATGTCTGCGGCCTGCTTGGAGACGTCGGAGCCGGCGATGCCCATGGCGATGCCGATGTCAGCCTTCTTGAGCGCGGGGGAGTCGTTCACGCCGTCGCCGGTCACCGCCACGATGGCGCCCTGCGGAGGACACGCGGCGCTGGAGGAGGAGGCCCCCCACTCCGCTCCCCGTCGCGCCCCCGCCGCCCTCCCCGTCGCCCCGCCCCGCCCCGCTCACCTGCCGCTGGCAGCCCTCCACGATGATGAGCTTCTGCTGAGGAGACGTCCGGGCGAACACAATCTCCGTGTGGTTCTTGAGGATTTCGTCCAGCTGCTCGGACGTCATGTCCTTCAGGTCGGCACCGTGCACCACACACGCCTTGGCTTCTCTGCCGGGGGGGGGGCAGAGGCGGCTGCCTCAGCACCTCAGCACCCCTGGGCTCTGGTCTGCCTGCGACGTCTGTGCCCCCTGGGCCTCCATCCTCTTTCTCTCCACACTCATTGACCTGTTTTCCCCATTTCTGTCCCTGAGGAAGTGACGCTAAACCCTTGCCACTTGGCATCCTCACATTGTATGGCTTCCAGGCGATGTGCTGGCTTCCCTACGTGTATCTCATTCCTCTCGCCACCCCGCAGTGTGCAGAGCATCCTGATTTTTGTAGTTGAGAAATGGAGGCTCAGGAAGGAACGTGACATCTCAAGGTTACACAATCAGTGACAGCCTGGACACCTTCAGCACCGAGGACTGGGCTGCTGAGGTCAGAGGCAAGGTCTATAAAGGTCGCAGAGGTGCTGTGCAAATACCCCAGGGGACACTCAAACATTCCGTGGGACAGGATGGGTTGATCAGGGGACAGGGGGTCCTGCAAAGGCCTCACCTGGGGTTGACCTGACTGACAGGGATGTTGAGCCGGGCTGCAATGTCCTCCACAGTCTCGTTGCCCTCTGATATAATGCCCACACCTTTGGCAATGGCCTTGGCTGTGATCGGGTGGTCCCCCGTCACCATGATCACCTAGTGGGAAGAAGAAAGAGAAAAGGAGAGTGTTAGTGTTAAGGTTTTCAGCCCTTCTATTCCTTTCCCAAAGTCAAGAAAAGCCACTTGATGGTGAGGATGGCAGTTCCCAGCCACAATAATGGAACTGTGTGTGTGTGTGTATGTATGTGTGTGTGTGCAAGTGTGTGTGGGTGGGTGGGTGCGAGGGAGAGACAATGACAAGTTGTGCTCAGGGGATCAGAGATAGTTTGCCGAAATAGAGGAAAGCCTCCACAACAGAGTAACAGATGAATGAGGGTCCCTTGGGAAAGACACCTTGGATTGTTCAGGAGTTTGCATTTCACGGGCTACAAGGCTGGCAGAGCTGGAAGGGCCCCTTAACAGCCACCTTAGTTTACTGGTGAGACCACAAGGCTTAGAAAGGGCCCATTTGTCCCCCTGATTCCTCAGGGTTATAGGGGGCCGTGGCCAGGACACGGTCTCCTCCATGTCCAGCAGGAGTGCTGCAGGCGAGCTAACTGCACAGGGTGGGGGTGAGGGGGACACAGCCCCCCACCCTGCCCTGCACCACCTGGCTTCTCCGCCTCTGATGTCACTTCCTGCCTTAGCCGTGGAAGTGTTCACTGCCGCTGGAATGCGTGGAGTTGGGTGGGCGGATGGTTGGCATCTGGGAGGTAGTCACTAGGCTGTAAGTAAAAGGTGGTCAGAGCTGGATCAGGACAGCATCTGCGTGGGTGACTTGAAGGGCAAATCCTGCAGATCCTGAGAAGTTAGCTTCTTGGAGCCTGACTGCCTTCTCTTCCACCCCTACCACCCCACTGAAAGTAACCCCAGAGGCCACGCGGGCCTCCCAGTTGAAAACCAAAGGGCTTCTCCTGTTTGCCCCTGGGGGGCATCTGGTACTGTTCTCCACCCTCCTCAAAACGCTGTCCCCCCTTCGCTTCCATGGGCCCCGCTGCTCCCTGCTCCCCTCGTCTCTCTTGGTGCTCTTTCCCAGCCCCCTCAGGGTGACAGCCAAGTGGAGTAGAAGTGGCTTTGGAGGCAGATGGCATCCCTAAACTTAAACACCGGCCTTCCGCCGCCGCAGGACCTTAGACCAGTCCATGCCCGCGTTTCAGCGCAGCGGAGCTGATCCTGCCTTCCCGGGTTGTCATGGAGAGTAAAGAGCATTAGGTGGACCCCCTGGCGATGTTGGGGGTGACTTACCTCCCTCTCCCCCCTTTCACTGGCCCCTCTTTCTCTATTTGCTTCTAAACTGTGTGCTAGGGTCTCACTTTGCTTCCCTTCCTTGACCCAGGTCCTGTTCCTGGGCAACAAGGTAAGTCATATTAGAAGACATTGATTTGCACTCAAATCTGCGGTCCTGACCCTCTTTCTTGAGCTCTAAACCACATTCCAGCCTTCCCTGGGACATCTCCCCCCAGGTGTCTTATAAATGCTCAACTTAAGGTCAAAATTGTACCCTTTCTCTACTCCCCCACCCACCACGCCTGCCCCTCTGCTCCCTTCCTTAGAAATCATTCTCCCTATTTGCATTCGCTCTGTCCCTTTGTCCCCTGTATCCTCACCTCCCACACCTAGTTTGGTCACCAAGTTGTCAAAACATTTCTCAAATGTAGCGACTCCTTTCTGCTCCCTTTGACGACGACGCAGTTCAGGTCATTGTCCCTTGACGGAGCTCCCGCAGGTGCTGCCCATCCTGTCTCCCTGACTCTTGTTTCTCTCCAAACCCAGTCCCTCCTCCATGCAGGGTAGCCTCCTGAAAGCTAGATCTGCCTTGCGACACCCATGCCTCTCTGTGGGTGGCAGGATAAAGCCCAAGTCTGGCATTTAAGCAAAGTCCTCGCCCCTGGCCCTGGCCCAGCGTTCCAGTCCCAGTCCCAGTGGTCCTTTCCACACGCCACACTCACATCCTGCAGCCCAGTCACGTCATATCACAGCACATGCTGTTTCCTGCTCTTGACATGCCCTTGTCTCCCTCACTGCCTTACAAGATATTCTCCAACCTTTGAGGCCCTGATCAAATATCATGCCCTTTATAAAACACTGCCCAGTTCTCTGAGGCAGAAATAACTGCTGCCTGCTCTGAGTTCCCACAGAGGTGCTTTCCCCAGGCTGGCATTTTCCATGATGGTTCTGCTCAGAGCAGGGGGCAGCCTGGTGAGCAGGGCCATGGGCTTTCCAGACAAGCAGACCATGCTTTCTATACCTGACTCACCTCTTCCTGGCAGTTTTCTTTTGGGAAAGCTACTTACCCATTCTGAGTCTCAGCTTGTTTTATTTTGAAATGGGGATAACAATGCCTACCTTAGAGACAGAGTGGTTATGGGGTTCAGAAATCACAGACATACACACACGCATATACATACAAGTCCTTCAGTGTGATAGGTAAGGACTAGTAGACTGCCTTGGTTCAGTTCCTGGCTCTGCTATGTACTAGCTGTATGGTCTAGGGCACGTTACTTTGTGCCTCAGTTTCCCTCTCTGTAAAAGAGGGGAAATGCTAGCGCTTACTCACAGGGTGTTGTGGAGATGAAGTGAGATCATACAGGTTTAGCATTAAGAATAGTGCCTGGTTCCTATAAAGGCTCACAAACAAATGGCTGGGCTTTTTTATTATTCCAGTATCTGACCCATAGCAGGTGCTTAGTGACCCCAGCCATTGGACCCTTCTGTGACTAACTGTAAAGGCATTTCTTTCCTCTGAGACATCATGAGGTCCGGAGGCCAGGCACTGTGTCTGGTTCATCTTTGAGTCCCAGAGCCTGCCTGGCACAGGACCCAGCCCTCAGGAGGCGGGCTGAGTCGAACTGATTTGGCAATAGGTGAGATACTGAGAAAAGAGGAACAAGCAGGGGCACCAGGACTGGTGAGCAGACAGGTGGAGGAGGTGGGAAAGAGCCGCATCTTGGCGACAGGAAAGTGCTCCAAGATGGCAGGGATTTATGTGTGTTTGTCTGTTGAATGCAGCACCTGCTGCACAATTAGTAAACAATAAATAATTGTTGGATGAAGAACATCTATAGCTCAGAGGGAGGTGTGGACATGGGGAAACGATTGCAGGTGGGCCAAAGAACCTGGTGAGGTGTGTGATGGGTAAGGACCCAGGCCAGCCTTCTGGGTCAGGGGGCAGCGAGTGGTGCCTGCTAATCCCATCGCAAAGGGCTAGGGAGAGTGGGCAGTAGTTGGGAAGGGGAGGACAGCTAAATGGTCAGGATAGGGGTCCCGAATGGGACAGAAATGACAGCGGCATGTGCTGTGGCAGGGAGAGAGGGGATGGGCTTGGGGACCTGGTCACTGGACCATAGGGGCACGGGTGAGGGCCCCTGAGTGGGGGCCAACCTCTCCTTGCAGTGGGCAGCTTCTCGTCGCAGTCCATTGGGAGAGGGCCACCAGGGGCCTGGGTGCACCAGCCCCTCCAGTCCCTTGGCCGCCGGCATTTGGGAGGAGAGGAGAGCGAGGGGTGAGGCCAGTACCTTGATGCCTGCACTCCGGCACTTGCCCACAGCATCTGGCACGGCAGCCCGGGGAGGGTCGATCATGGACATGAGCCCTACGAAGCAGAGCTTCTCTGTGGGAAAGTTCAGCTCATCCGTGTCAAATCTGAAGCCCCGAGGAAACTTTCCGGAGGGCAGATTCAAGTGGCAGAACCCTGGGAGGGGTTGGAGGGAACGAGGGAAGAGTGAGAGCCGCAGGGTGGCTTTCTGGGTGCCCCCCAAGCCTCTCGCCCCGGGAGAGCTGGGCCCTAGAGACCTTGCTCTCAGCCCTGCCCCCTGCGGCTGGCCCCTCACCCAGCACTCGCTCCCCGAGTCCTCCCAGCTCCATGTAGGCATTCTGAAAGGCATCTTGCATCTCCTTGTCCAGGGGAATCTCCTTGCCCTGCACCAAGATGGTGGAGCAGCGGTCCAGGATGCGCTCCGGGGCCCCCTTCATCACCAGCACGTGGCTCTGGGGGCTGTCTTCTCGCTCGTGAATGGACAGCTGGAGAGAGGACGGACAGACAGCTGCAGAGGCGCTGTACTTATGTTGGTGGCCCCCATGCCCAGCATGGGATAGAGCAGAGGCTGGGAAGGGAATCTCCCGCAATAAAATAACCCCTGATGTATCAACTGTTACCAACATAGGGAGAGTCTGTGTGTGGAGGGGCTTTTGGGCCTCATAGTCTCAACCCTGTAACCTGAGAGTCGCCTTCCGAAAGGACAGCCATTCACTCAACCAGTATTTACTAAGAGCAGTTAATCAGCACTGTGCTGGGCACTGGGGAGCTCTCTCATCAGCATCACTCCCCGCCCCCAGATTGGCCTCACTGGGGCTTTACTTGTGTGCTTACGCAGGACATAGCCGAGACTGCATTGCCGGCATCAAAGGAATTCCCTAAGGAAATTTCAGAGGTACGGCTCAGCTGAGTGGCACAGAAGGGCTGGGAGGTGGGGGCTGGGGGATAGGCACTCTGGGAAGAAGTGCTGAGAGGATGACAGGCGTAGTGAGCAACGAAGGTTCGGGAGTTAGTGGTAATTGCACCCAGACACGTAGTCACCCACGTTGCCTTGGGGGTGAGGCGGGAGGAGAGGACAGGATCCCCAGGTGCCTCTGCTCCTCCTGATAATTGCCCTGGGTTTTGTGCACCCCCACTTCTGTTCCTCCCTCTTCCCCTGTCTCAGCACCCCAGCCACACCTGGTACTTGTTGGTAGAGTTGAAGGGAATCTCCGCCACCTTGGGGTTCCGGTCCCTCATCTTCCTCACAGAGCCACAGGACAGCTCGATGCACTTGAGCAGAGCTGACTCCGAGGCGTCCCCAGCTGTGTCCCGCTGCCAGAGGAGAATTCAGTGTCACCGTGGGGCCAGGGAGGGAGTGGGTGACCCAGGGAGGAGGGCCCTGAACCCCCGAGGCAGTCAGAGTGTGTGAGAGGGGAAGCTGAGTGCCGGCAAGGTGGACAGGCTATAGGGAGGCCTCTGACCCCCTACCTTAGACACGGAGATGTTCTCCTGCCCAGCCTTGAAGACGGCACGGTTGCAGAGACCAGCAATCCGAGACAGGGCCGTCCACGTCGGGGATCGTTTGTCGAAAGTGGCCCCTGGGAGGAAGTGAGGGAGAAGCAGGAGCGTGGCTCCCCCTAGAGCCCCTATCTCACCCCCACCCGCCCTGCCTGTTGCCAGGACCCTGAGCACGCTCCCCTGCACCCCCTGCAGTGCCCAGTCACCAGACTGATCTTCCGTGGTGTCAGCCTCGTGGATTTGGTTGTCGAACCACATGTGGGCGACGGTCATGCGGTTCTGGGTGAGGGTGCCCGTCTTGTCTGAACAGATGGTGGACGTGGAGCCCAGCGTCTCCACCGCCTCCAGGTTCTTCACCAGGCAGTTCTTGCGGGCCATGCGCTTGGCGGTCAGGGTCAGGCACACCTGGGAGAGGGGCGGAGAATCAAACAGGGCTAAGCCTGGGGCCGGAGATGCCCCTGATCATACCCCAGACCATGGCTCCATCCCAGCTCCCTGGATTCTGCTCTGCAAACACTGAGTGGGACTTAGGGGCAAGCAGTGGATGCGTTCAATTTGAGGCCCGTTGAACTGAGCTCATGAGTCTATTTAGGCGACATGTCCAGGAGGGAATTGGAGATATTTGGCTACAGTTCTGAGAGGGCCAGAGTAGGGCTGCATGTAGGGCCATGGGATTCAGCCACACAGAACGGGCACCGGAAACTGGGGGAGCTGGCCTCCCTGCAGCGGGTGAGGAGCAGAGCAGAGGGCTGAGGCCTGATAATCCTCAGGGGACAGAGGACAGGAGAACCAGGATGGTGACATGTCACAGGGGCAACAAGGCAGAGAATGCGAGGAGGTGGACAGCAGCGTCCATTTCAGCAGCAGCGTGAAGGACTGGAGCCAAGGATCGGTCACTGGGTTTGCTCATTGGTCACTGGTGACTTTGAGGGAGGCTTTCCAGGAGAGCTGGCCAGGAGGAGCCCCAGACTACAGGGGGAGCAGGAAAGGTGCACGGACGCTGAGAAAAGGTGACTGGGACAGGCCCCAGGGAAGAGACTGAGGGCCAAGGTAGAGTCCAACCTGAGATTTTCCAGACTCAAACTCTGAGCCATGGATTAGGGGAGCATCTGATATGTGATTTCAGGGGCTGAAAGTGAAAAACTTGCTGCGAAGCAATAAGCCTTTATTGATTCTGAGGAAAGGGTAGAAAGACCCCGCCCTCCTGGCACCCTCGGCCTGACCCACTCACCGTGACGGTGGCCAGCAGCCCCTCGGGCACGTTGGCCACAATGATGCCGATGAGAAAGATGACAGCCTCCAGCCAGCTGTAGCCCAGGATAAGGGAGAGCACGAAGAAGGACACCCCCAGGAACACGGCCACCCCTGTGATGAGCTGAATGAAGTGTTCGATCTCCATGGCTATGGGCGTCCGCCCGACCTCCAGGCCCGAGGCCAGAGTGGCTATGCGGCCCATCACTGTCCGGTCACCTGTGGCGATCACAATGCCCCTGGCAGTGCCTGCAACACAGGAGGGGACAGCAGGCTGGGTGCCGGGGGGCTCTCAGGAGCTGCAGGCCCATCCTACTTCCTGTGGGAGGAGAGACCCCACAGAGCAAATGAGATGACGACCCTGATCCTGGGGGTCTCTTTGAGCAGATGGTGCCTCCCTGGGCTTCCTCTGCTGGCGCAGACCACCGAACAGGCTCAGGACAACAGCAAATTCTTTCCTCTTACACCTGGGCCTAGGGAAGAGCCTTTTAAATAAATTCAGAGTTCAAATCGAAGGGATTCAATAAATGACATAAAAATATTGCCTGTGGTATTGCAGTAAAATCAATCTCATACTTGTTATCATCCAAAAGTATATTATGAAGACAACATAAAACACTTATTATGGATTCTCCATGTAGTCTTAAGATGTTTATTTCTCAGCATTAGGCACGAATCTCCACAGAAGCAGCTAGGCAACTACTGACCCTTACGTGGACTCGAGAAGGGTCTTGAGGGGTGGAGGGATGTGTGGTAGAGGGCAAAGCACTTGCAGCGGGACCAGCCAAACCTGGGTTCGAATTCCTACCTAAGGAAATCACTGTTACAGTAATTAAACGAGGTAGTAGTGCCCAGCACATAGTAGGCACTCAGCAAATGTTAATGTCATTCATTTCCTTTCCTCTCTTCAAAGCCCATTTCAGAGTATATGGAAACATTTTACTAGGCATTTTTATCAATTGCGGGATTTGAAATCTCAGCACATTAAACATTTAAGAAATTTAATGTGAGGTGATTCTCATTGTAATTCCAACTGGCTAAGGAGGGGAAAAGCCCAGAGAAACATAATACAGTTAAGAGAAATGAGAAAGGGGGAGGGAAAGGTGGGGAGGTGGGTGCAGGGCTCCTCCTTCCCCTGTCCGAGGCCCGTGGTCTGGTCAGGCCTCTGTCCCACCGCTCTCCCTGCTGCTCCCTCTCTGGACGGTGCTGACTGGGCAGCTGCCCAGCATGGCCACGAGGGCACGGGTTCCAGCTGTGCTCGGCCCCCTGCCATCAGGGGTGGCAGCACCAGATCTCTGGCTGGCCTTCGTTCATCTCTAGAACCCAGAGGCAGAGATGGGCCAACCAGGCAGCCTGTGCCTGATGAACAATGTCTCGTGGTGAAGCGCAGGCCTCAGTGCGGCCTAATGTCTGAGGCTTTGGAATCCACTCAGTCATGGGGTGGACAGAACAGAGAAAATGGCTTTGTGCCAGTCATGCCCCCCAGCCAATTCCCTGCTCTCTGGCGGGGATGATGCCTGCGGTCCTCAGGCTCCCAGCCCCTCAGGTGTCCCTGTGGCAGGGCATGAGACAGGTGCGTGCAAGCACAGCTGGCTGTGGAGTCGGGATGCAGACCTCCCCTCGCCGGAGCGTGGGCACGGGGCTCCCCGCCAGGCCAGCCTCTCACCTTCCACACAGTTGGTAGAGAAGAAACAGATATTACGGGTCTCCAGTGGGTTCTCATGGGTGAACTCGGGGGAACGGGTCTGGGGCTCTGATTCGCCTGTTAGGGATGAGTTGTCCACCTGAGGAGGAAGGGGGCACGCAGTCACCAGCCGGGCAGGGGCCCACAGGCACCCCTGCAGCTGTGTCCTCACTGCAGCTGCATCCAGTCTCCACGACACAAGGGACAGAATTACACGTGCCCTCATCACATATTTATAGCGCTGCTCAGTGGCGCTGCCTGCTCTAGTTTTGAATCCCAGCTCGCCCTGACTTCCTGTGTGACCCTGGGCCAGTTACTCAACCAGAGAGCCTCCACTTACTCATCTGTACAATGGGGGATGTGACCAGAATGTCTTCACTGCACAGCTACACGGGGTACCACTAACACTGCAGTCCATGGAAACGGTACCTCCTAAGGTTGTGCATGGCACAAATTGTGGCCACAGCCCGACATCATCATGTCATTCCTGCAGAGCTGATTAGATAGCAATATGTGAATGCACTTTAGGCATCTGACACGGTAATACTCAGTACATGACTGCCAAAAAGTGGATATCAAAGAACCACCCAGAGCATGAAGCATTCATAGCGCATAGATGCCAGGAGACAAGGCATTGGCACTATACGTGGGTAAGGCTCAGCTGGGCGCTAGGGCACAGGGGTTCACATTCGGACCTGGGTCTCCCAACCTTGAAACCTCTAACTGGGCCCCTCTCAACCCTATCCAGCCTGCCTCTTGGACACAGTTGCTCTGACCTGGCCTCCTCACCTTACAGCCGTGAGAGGAGATGATCCGGAGGTCGGCAGGCACGCGGTCTCCACCCTTCACCTCCACCAGGTCTCCCACCACCACCTCCTCGGCGTTGATCTGTATCTTCTCTCCTTCCCGCACCACGAGGGCTTGCTGTGGGGAGGCCACGGGCATCTCGGGAAGTCCTGTCTCCACCCTCACCTTCCTCTCCTGCTGGTCTCCCCCATCTCTTCCAGTCCCGCCAAAGAGAAGAAGAAACCTCACACCCTTAGCAACAAATCTAGGTCCTGGTGTACAGAGCTGGGGAATCCTTTCTGTCCAAGGCTCCCTCTCGGAGCACAAGGACTTGAGAAGGGATGAGCTGGACTCTCCCAGAAACCTCCCATTCCAGCCTGGAGCCAGGCCGGCAGTCTACCTGTGGCACCATGTTCTTGAAGGAATCCATGATCTTGGAGCTCTTGGCCTCCTGGTAATAGGAGAAGCAGCCGGTGACGATGACCACAGCTGCTAGCACCACGCCCAAGTAGAGCTGGGAAGGAGAAAGGACTTGAGGGACCTGCCCTTGTCCCACCCCTGGAGGGGCACTGCCTCTCAGGATGGGCCTTCAGTGCCACCCTGTTGGTGACTGGCAGTGAGAATGGTGTAGAAAGTCCTCTCCAACATCTCCCTCAACCTTCCCATCCCCAGCCTCCTAAGGCCAGAAGGGGCCTGGAATATCACAGGGTGTTCCTGGGACTAGGACCTCTCTGGGGACGAGGACCAGGGATTCAGACAAGCCCACTTCATGTGAAGGGCCAAGAGGAACTGTCTCACTCATGAAAGATCCTGTGTGTGTGTGGTGTGTGTGTGTGTTGGGTGTTTACAGATATGTATAGAAGCCTCACCCCTTTCCAGCCAAAGGGCAGAGGCGCCTGGGGGACTGTGACATGAGGGTCTTGCTCCCCCCACACCGCTGGAGATTCGGGACCTGGTCCAGGGGTCAGGCATGCCAGCTCACGTTGTCATTGGACGGTTCATCCTCCATGGCAGCCTGGATGCCATAGGCCAGGAAGCAGAGGATGGCCCCAATCCACAGCAGGATGGAGAAGCCCCCGAAGAGCTGGCGACAGAACTTGACCCACTCGGGGGTTGTCGGGGGTGGGGTGAGGGCGTTGGGCCCATCCCGAGCCAGAATGTCCTGGGCCCGCTGGTTGGTGAGGCCCTAAGGGAGGCAAGGAGAGGCATAGGGGCACACATCCGGGACCACCCCGGCCCCTCATCACTTCCAGCCAGCTCCTTGGCAGGGGAGTGATGCCCAGGAGAAGAAAAGCAGCCACCTGGTTGGAAGGAGTGGGGGTCATCAGGGGAGGCCACAGAGGTGGCAGCTGCAATGGGCGTTGGAGGCCTTGAAGGCTGAGGAGGATTCTGACTGTGGCCCACCTCTGGTCATCCTCGGATTGAGACCCGTTTTGGTTGGGTCCAGCGTATCTCCTCTGGAGGCAGCTGGGTAAGGTTCCCTAGGAAGCTTCTCGATTGGTTCCTCTCCCTTCTCTCTCCCTGCAGACTGCCCCCTCCATGGAGGATTCAAGAGCAGCCCAACATTACTGACCATCCCTGTCACACAGCTTTAGCGATCACCCGTCATTTCCCCAGAAAGCCTCCCCTGGCCCCGCTCCTCCAGCCCCAGGCTGGCTCACCCGCCTCTCTGCTTCCCCTTGTGTCCATGCGGGACTCCGGAGCCACACCCTCTGTAAGGCACTGGGATTCTTCTCTGCTGCTGGACATGGAGTCCTTCAAAGGCAGAGGCCACTTCCTATTTATCTTTTTGCCGCTTATTTATTTAATACCTGTATTCTGAGCACCTACTAGATGCTGTATTGTCAGCTCGAGGGATCCAGAGAGGTACAAGATCCACCAAGTCCCTGCCTTTTGTCCCTTATGGTCTGGTGAGGTGACATGCAATGAACATGATACTGCCAGACAGAGAAAAGCTTTACGAAGAAAAAGTAAGGAACAGGAATGGGGCACAGAATGTGTGAAAGCGCCCTCCGGAGGGGGCATGCACTTGTTACATTTTCGATTAATGATTTTTTGTTTTTCAAAATGATGGGCTTGGCAACCTGCCTGTGCCACATAACTATCTGTGTGCCCTTGGGTGGCTCCTCCCCCTCTGTGAGTCTCCTTGCTTTAATAAAGTGGCCTGCAACCCCCGTCCCACAGGGCTGTAAGGGTTAGAGGGATGTGGGTGCAGCGTGCCTCACGGTATATGCCCGGCAGGGGCCCCGCATGCTCCCGGAGCATAGTACTGGGTGGTCTCCTTCTGCACGTATGGCAGTTCCATGACAGATTGTGTGTCCCTGAAGCTGCTTTCCAGGGAGGAAAAGCCCTGCCTAGAGGTTCCCTGGAGCCTGGGGTCTAGGGCGTCCTGGCTTCAGGAGCGCAGGTTCAGAGCTCTAGACTAGGGAGCAGGGGATCTGGTTCTAGTTCTGGCTTTGCCACCAACTAGTCATGCATCTCTGGGCCTCAGTTTCCTCATCTATAAAGTGGGTTAGAGTGTTAAGGCTCCTACCAGGATGCTGCGTGTTTCTCACCCCTTTGGTGCCCCCCCGGAAGGCCTGCTCCTCACCTTGGACAGGTCCACTTGGTATTTGCGGCCCAGCTCATCCAAGGACAGCTTGTGGTCGTCCTGGGGAAGGGCAGTGGAGTTACTGTGGGGCCACAGGCTGCGTGCATGTCTAAAATGCGTAGGAGGGCACTGAGTGTGCAGGGCTGAAGCGAGGGGCAGGCAGGGGCGGGCACGAGCCTCCCAGGGTGCTTGGGAGGCTGGGGCAGCCCTGACACAGGCCCCCTTCTGCCTGGCCTGGCAGGGCAGGGCGTGGGCCTCACCATAGTCACCTCCTTCTTCAACTCGTCCAGCTCCTTCTCTTTCTGTTTCTTCTTGCCGCCCCCATTCTCCGAGGTGGTGGCAGCGGGAGAGTACTCGCGGCCGGCCTGCAGCAGGGGGAGAGTCCAGGGAGGCAGGGAGGATGGAGGCTGGGGCCTCTACTCCACTGCACAGCCCAGGGGCCCGGGCATTGGGGGTGGGTGCCATGGACTCAGAGGCAGTGGCCGTGCCAGGGGAGGAAGAGGGACTGGAGGGTGGGGGGCACCCCCAGCTCTCAGTGTGCCACCTATTGGCAGAGCCCCAGGGCTCCGTGTTTGAGCTCTGGGGAAGGCTGAGCAGCTCAGGACTGAGGAGCCCACTCTTAGCTGTTTTGCACTGGGTTTCTGCTAACATTTTGTTTGTTGACAGAACACGGCTGCTAAATACTAAACGAAACAAGAATGTTAAGAACCGCTATCCTCCGTTATCTAGAATTCGGGAAGGCAGGTTTGGGCGATGGTTCGAGGGAGAAGAAGCACCCGCAGGAGTGTCTTTGTCCCAACACCACAGCTACCTTCCTTAGAGAGGAACAGGGGCATTAAGAATCTGGGGGAGCGGGAGTCTTTGTGGGGCCAGGGTCAGGGCAGGGAAGTGTCTGGAGGGGGATAGGGAGCTACAGGGTTCGGTGGTGGTGGAAATGGAATAAGCGGGGCTGATGGGCTCTGAGAAGTCGATGGTTGGAGGGTGAGGGTGTGTCCAGAAGGGCTCAAGGAGGGTGCAGGGAGCTCCAGGCCTCCTGATTGGTGGGCCTGCCCGCTGCCAGGCAAGGGGCAGTTTGTGACCTTGAGGCCCCAAAGTACAATTGGGGAAGAGGGGAACTGGGTCCCATTTGTCCAAAATATAAGACATTGTCTCTGAGAATAAACCTAAAACTGAAATGTGTGTAGCCCCTGGTCCAGGCATTCCTACATCCTCTGGTGAACTCCCCTGAGCACTTTAACTGGGGCCTCTGAGCCCCCCATCTTCCCATTCCTCTTCAGGGCCTGTGGTCTCCTCACCACTGCCAGGCATCTGGGTCCCACAGGGAGCTTCTTGGGGGGAGGGTGGGAAATGTCTCCTCCCAAGGGGACTGTCTTCGGGTAACAGGATGGGAGGGGGCTGCAGAGACCTGGGGCGGCCACAGACGCCTCTCAGGCCCTGCCACACCCCAGGTTCCTGTCCTCCCACTCCCTCAGGATTTTGAGTCCTTGTCATGGAGGGGCTGCTAAGTTTCTGTCCTGTGCCTCCATTTCTCCACTGGGTCCTCAGGGTCATGCTAGGCTTTCGGGAATGAGCTTTTCTATATTATAGTGCAATTCATTTTTTCATAAAGAGTGTGTATCTGGGTGGGATCTTTTGCCCTTTTTTGTGGATTGTGTGTTTTTTGAAAGTACACTTTTCTTTTAAAACAGTTTTCAGTTCATGACAAAACTGAGCAGAAAGTTTGGAGTGTTCTCATATGCCCTCTGCCCCACCACGTGCCACATCCCCCACCAGAGTGGCACGTTTGTTATAATGGATGAACTTACCTGGATACACCATTATCACCCAAAGTCCATAGTTCACCTTAGGGTTCCCTCTTGGGGGTGCACATTGTATGGCTTTGGACAAATGTATAACAATATGTAGCCCCCATTCTAGTGTCATACAGAGTAGTTCTGCTGCCCTGGAAGTCCTCTGTGTTCCAGGATAACGCATTTTTCCCATAAAAAAGTCAGGAGCAATCCCAGGGATGTGGTAGCTGCCCTGATCATAGGCAATCACAAACCTAGTACCCGGAGAGGTGCAAGTCTGACCAGTGCGATAAGGAACAGAGAGGGTGGTGCCCCGAGGGGTGGACACCACCCCGTACACACTAAATCCTGCATTTGTTTCCCTATGAAGTGTCCATGAGACAGCCCAACAGAAGGAGTGGGGAAGGGCCCGTGAGTTTTCTCTTCCTTCCCCAGGTGACTTGAGAGGGTTCCTTTAACTGAATGCATTGAAATACTTGGGATTCACTGACTGTCCTTGGTGGGACGGGACTGAGAAATGGATGAGAGGCAGAAGGACCAGGGCCAGAGATGAGGCTGGACAAGTGTCAGTGTGATGCTCTGGAGCCCCAGGGGCAGGAACAGGGCCTGGCCTGGCCTAGAGGATGGGGCTGTGGCTGAAGCAAAGGAGAAGAGCCCAGAGAGTTTCTGTACATTCTGTACATTCAGACATGAAATAAAGTTCAAGAAGATTCTAATCAAATGCGTAGTTTTTAAAAAATAGCCAGCCCTGTGCTTTTGGCGTGATGGATCACGGCTGAGCTCAGCAGCCCCACGCAGGACCCCCTTCCTCTCAGCTCCCACCCTGTTCTCCTGCAGGCAGGCCCAGGGCTTGGGACACACTGCCTCCTCCCCCCACTCTTGTCCTGTCCTGGCAAAGATCTTAGGCTCTGCGGCCAGGAGCCTGAGGAGATTCAAGGCCAGCAGGCTGCCCAGGCAAGAAAGAGAGAGAGGAAGCAAGGACCACCCCCCCTCCGCACTCTCCTCCCCCAGCCACAAGGTCCCCTCTCTGGGTCCTGAATGCTGAAGGAGAACAGAGAGTTCTTTTTGAGGAAGCCAGAGGCTGGGACAGAGTGGGGGCAGCTGGGAACCAGCCAGCGCTCCCCCAGTCATGGCCTCTCGGTGGCAGCTGGAGCAGCCGGGCTCCATCCCACCAGTGCCATCCCTTCCCCCAACTCCCACGCTGCCCTTCACGGCCACAGGGTGGTGGCGTGACAGTTAGGCCTTGCTCTGGAGTGGAGGTGCAGGGACTAGGGACAGGAGACAAAATGAATCCTAGAAGTGGGAATGGGTAGGAGGTGCTTCCCCTCTTCGGGGGTGTCCTGGCAGGTTGAACCCCAACCTCTAGCACTAAGTCCCACCACATCCCCCACCTCTCACGCAAACAGAACCAGATCTGGGCATGACTTCTGCTGCATCCTGCACAGCTACTGGGAGTGCAGGTGAAGGGACTTCAGGGCTGAGGGAGAAGCCAGGGTCCCCTGAGAAGTCAAGGTCAGATTGCTTCCCAAGCAGGGTCTCTGGACCTGGGTCTACCTTGTTCTAAGGTGGAGCCGGGAGAGGGCTTCCTCCCCTCCTCTCTACACAGGTGGGGGAGTGAGGGCTCCACCTGGCCTCTCAGAGGTCCTGCTCCACAGCTGGGGACCCCCTTTCCCTGGGGGAGCAAGAGATGCCAAGGAGCAGCTGAAGGTCCAAGACAGTATATCTTCCCACACTTGTGACCTCTTCCTCCATGAAGCCCACACCTCAGAGGCAGCTCTCTGGACCTTCACTCATCTCTGCACAGTGACATTTATGCTCCCACATGCCTGAAATTGGGTACGTTTCAAATTTGCCTACTGAGACACAAGCACAGGTGTCATCCATGGATATCTGTACCCACTCCAGACTACGGAGAGCACATGGTGGCAGGCGTGCACGCGTGCACGCGCGCATACACACGTCCCGTTCTATTTATAGCTTCCACCCTAGCTCAGGAACCCTGGTGTCCAAGCTCAGAGCTTTCCCAGCTGCTAAGCTCAGGGCAATAACACGTCCTTGCCTGACCCCTCTTGGGCCCAGAACGCCCCCGCACATGCCCACAGCCCCCTCGTTCCTCAGCACCCTCCCGTTGCCCACCGCCCATGCCCCTTCCCTTCCGCCCTCTTCCTCCAGCATTCCACAAAAGGAAAGCAGCCTGGCACAGTATGGAAAGGGCTCTGGTCACTTTTCTCCATATGGAAATTTCATTTCCAAGAATTCAAAGCCCTGCCCCCGCTTGGTTGTTAATCTTCCCCTTGGCATAGCCAGGGCCACAGAATGCCACAGGCAGGGGTGGGCTAGGGAGAGCAGGCAGCTCTTACCAGCCTCTGGGAAAGTCCTTAGTACCCATGGCCCAGAGCCGAGGACAGTGCTGCCCAGGACATCCGGAGGGGGGCTGGGCTGGGGGCACATCGCTCCTCCTGCCCACCCCCATCCCAGCTGTCTCCTGGTGCCCAGGGACCCTGGGGCTGGTGTCCGGGACTGCTGGTGGCTCAGGAGCAGAGGCCAGCCTGGCTTTCTCCATCCTCAAGTTGGACCCACATGCCCTCAGGCTGGGACTCCAAGAGGAATGAGTATTTTCAGGGGGCGGTGCAGACAGCGGATGAACAGTGCCAAGTACCCCTTCAGCTGGGAGGCCAGAAGGTGTGGGAGAGCAGAGTGGGCGCGGGGATGGAGGTGAGGGAGGTTGCCTGTGGCTGCCCTGGGGCTGACCCCGGGGCTGGTGGAGGGGAGGGCACTTGGGCCGTGAGCGCCCTGGACCTGTGCGTGCAGCTGGTGCCGGGAGACTTGGTTCCAAGCTCAGACAACCAGCTCTGTCAGCTCCTCTCAGCTCCTCCCTCCGCGTCCCATTCCCAGCTCATCCCTTCCCTGTGGCCTCCCCCACCCCCCAGAGAGCCCTGCTCCTCCCTGGAGCTGCTGCCGCTCTGTGGGGATACTCACCCCACGGCCCATCTTGGGGCAGAGTGGCTGAGGGGACCTGGACTGGAGGGGTCACCAGGAGGATCCCAAGCCTGCACGCCGGTCTGGGACGGCCAGAGACCTACGGGCCAGACTGCACTGGCGGGAGCAACAGGGTAGCTTTAAATAGGCCCCTCTCCCCCTCTCCCCCGCCTTCCCCTCCTTGGGAAAGAGACGTTTGTTGAAACAGGATCCCTGAGGACTCCTCCCCTCCCGCCCCTTAAGCAACAGGCTGGGGGACTGTCCATGGGCCCTGCCATGCACTCCCCCTCGCCTCCCCCTCTCCCCTCACTACCGAGGGTGGGGAGGGTGGACGGGTAGGAACGTGCCATGTAGGGACAGGTGGAGGGGCGCTGTCTTCTTAGCATCCCAGGATGCCCAAGGCCATGTGGTCCCACTTCTTGCCTTGTTTTTCTGATGGGGAAACTGAGGCTCAGAGAGATTAAACAGTTGAAGCGAGTAAAACAGAACCAGAACCCAGGTCTCCTGAGTGTGCACCAGCCTCCTAGAGAAAGAAACAGAGATGGTTCCCTCTACCAGGCAGGTTGCGAGACCCGGAAGCACTGGAACCCAGGGCCACCCTCTTCATGAGGAACCCCAGAGGGACCCTGGCGAGACCAAAGGTGGCTCAAGAGGCAACATGAAGTCTGGAGATGGAGGGGACGGGGGTCTCCCCAAGCCCTCCAGATGAAGCCTTTCCAAAATTTGAGTCAAGACTCCAGGGGTCAGAGAGGAGGCTGGTGGAGGAGAGACAGCCTGGGCCTGGGGCTTCTGCCCTGGACCCAGCCTAGCAGGCACCCTTGGTCACATTTCCAGGTTTTGTTCGGCCCTTGTTTGCTCCTTTAGTTGGGGTTGAAGAGCGCTGGGCTGAATCTGCCTGGGGCTGGTGGGTGGGGTGGGGAGAAGCCAAAAGCGGGATGTGGGTCCCAGCAAGCCCCAGGCCCGGGAACAGGAAAGACGGGAGGCAAATCGCAGCCTGCAGGATGGAGGCCAGACAGATGAGAGGCCTCTGCAGGGAAGCTGGGAGAAACTGGGAGGAGGCGAGGGGTCTCGCCAGGGCTGGAAGGGCTGTCTGCAGCATCATACCAGCTGGAACTGGGGGTACAGCAGGTGACCCAGACAGGACCAGTTGGCCCAGGGGGCTGCTGCCCATTTGGTATGAGTCAAAGCATGAGGGGCTAAGAGGAAAGGGGAAGCCCGAAGGGGCAGATGGGAGAGCAAGTCCTGCCCCTGACTCTTGGGAGCAGTCAGAGGACGGGGTTCGCTGAGGGTTCCCACTTCTCTGGGCACAGAGATGGCGTGGAGGGAAGCCAGCAGCCTGGGGGCAGGTCCAAAGGAAGCCAGGAGGATGGGAGGGGAGGGCGGGGATGAGACCTAGGGTGCCCAGCGCTGGGCCGCATCCCTCTCTGGCCCCAGGGGAATTCCCTACAGGGATTGCAGGCCTCTCCTGCAGCAAATCCAATCTCAGGGAACAGGGCTCACATCTGAATTCCCCAAATAACTGGCCTCCTTCCGGGCCTGCACTTGGGATTTTCCATTACGGTGATCCGGAAGGTCACAGCCTCTTCCGCCCTCCTTCTCCTCCTGGGTTACAGCTGGAAGGGTGGGTGGGATGGGGCAGATACCTTCTTTCCAAGGGCCCCTCAACTAACCTTGATCTTGAGCCTGGGGGAGAACAGGAAACAGTGAGGGGAGACAGATCCCAGCCCAAGGCCCTGTGTGCAGAGGAGAGTGAGAGAAGCGGCTGGGCTGTGGTGAGACATCAGAAGAGACCGCCTAGTAAAGAAGTCACTAGCAGAGTGGCCCCCAGGGGGCCGGGTTACTCAATGCTGGGGCAGCTGAAGGCAGCTTTGCCCTGGGCTGGGGCACCAGGGGATGACCTGGGACTCAGGGAGCACCTGTTCCTTCGTTCCTGGGTTGGCTCCTTGGTTATCGCCTGCTCAGCCCTCTCCAGGACACAAGGTGAGATACAAGAGGAAACCCATCCCAGAACCGGAAGGCCTGGAGATGGCGGCCACTGGGCTCTGACAATGCTCATCACCCTCCCTCGCCCCCGCTGGCACCTCCCAGCACTACCCGGTCCTTCCAAGGCCCTGGCTCTGGTCCCTGTAGCCAGGCCCAATGCCCGTCCTCTGCCCAAACAGCTTGCCGGGGGCTCCCTGCCATGCTCTGCGTTTGAGCTAGTGTGCAGACCCCAGGGCATGCTGCTCACACATGTGGGGCTCAGGCAAAAGAAAGGGGGGACAGGACACCCGGGGCCGTTCCTCATTTGTGCCTCGCTGGCCACCCCCACTGCCCACTCTGGGAGTTTACCTGATTCTCCTGCGCCATGGGTCTCAGACTCTGGGACATCAATGGGTGTAGACAACTCGCCCTCTGATCCTGGGCGGCACTCCTGCTCCCTTTGAACACAGTTCAGATCCAGTTCCTCTGAGCGAGAGGAACCAAGCAGACAGTGAGAAAGACTTGGCAGTAGGGGCGGGGAGGCCAGGGTTCCTGGGCTGCGGAGTGGTCTTGGGAGAAAGTCACAGGTCAGGAGCGGAACACGGAAAGGCAGGACTGGGGCCCTGAATCAAATGTTTGGTTGGCCTGGGAAGATCTGGGAAGTAGGGCTGTGTGTGTTTGTGTGTGTATGTGTGTGCGCATGCATATACACACGAGTTTAACGACTGAGGGGGGCGTGACTGGGTGGGAGTCTGTATGTGGGTAGGGACCATGTGAATGTACCAAATGGCAGTTCCAAAGGCAGAGCCCCCCCCAGACAGGGGAGGGCCACCCTTGGCTGGCTGTGTAGCCAGTCTATTACAAGTCAGTTATTTGTATATCGCATGTTAGGATGCTCTGTGTGTGTGCACGCATAAGCACGTGTGCGTGTGTGCATCCGGGTGCGGGCGTACGTGAGAGTCCATGGGAGAATGTGCATGTGCATCAGGGGGTGGGGACGCCACTTAGCTGCAGATGGGCGTGCAAGGTCTCCAAGAAACAGTTTTGTTTCCTAAGTGACTAGCCTCCTGGGGCTTGCAGCCCAGACTTGAAGGTTGTTTCAAGATCATGAAAGAGAGAGAGGGAGGGAGAGAAGGAGGGAAGGACGCAGGGGAGGCTCTATCACCCCCACTGCCCCTCCCCCCATGCTCTGCCCCCTTCCCGATTTGGGCTGGCTCACCAGCCCTGCTTCTTCTCTTCCTCTCCTTCGGCTGCCAGGCCTCTCTGCGCAGTCTGTCCTACCCCGCTTCCCTCCTCCTCTCCATTTCCAGGGCTTCTGCCGAGTGGGAGAAAATTCTCTTCTTGCGCAGGGCGACAGCCTTGGGGTGATGGGGTGGACAGGGAGCCTGGGCTGGCTGGGGTAGCCATGCCAGGAGCCCAGAAAGGGTGCCTCTTTCTCCTCTTCCTCTCTCCTCTCGCTTCCCAAAGAGTGTGGTGACCTTGTGGTGGGGAAGGTTGAGCTCAGAGCCACAGAATGGCTGTCCAAGGCCTGGGACGCCTCAGTTTCCCTACTGGACCCCAAGGACGCTGTTGAATTTTCCCTCTCTCTCTTCCTTGATGTCTGCTCCTCTGTTTTCTGTCTGATCTTTCTTTTCAATCTACTCAAAATAGATTCTAATGTCCTCTTCCTCTCTCTCCTTGCTTCTGTCATCTTTATTCTTTCCCCCAAATTATTCTTATTATCCTTTTTATTGTTAAAGCCACATTATAAGGAATTCAGAAAATGTAGAAGAGAAAAGAACACCCGGAAGAATTTTCCTCCATCTCTCTGGCTCTGTTCCAGGTGCATGTCTTCTTGCCCTCTTTACTGCCCTCTGGGTTTGGACAGCTCCGTGGCGGGGGGCCTACCTAGACACGCAGGGGGAAGCCTCAGGGAGAAAAAAGGAAGGAGCAAAAACAAAAAAAATAATAAAAAATTAAAAAATTAAAAAAAAAGGAAAGGAGTAACAGGTGTGGCCCAGGGTCCCTTTGTCAACTGCCTTTCTCAGCACCATGGTCCAGGGCTGTCCTGTGCCCGTCTTCCCACCTGCCCGCCTGCTGTCCCCACCGTGGTCTGTTGCCAAGGGTACATGCCTACAAGTCAGGCCAGCTGAGGCTGGTCCTAGTGGGGCCACCAAGCAGCTGTGTGACCGTGGACAAGAGGCGTCCCCACTCTGCCTCCGCATCTGAATAACAAAGAGCAGGGCTAGAAAAACCTCTGAGGTCCCTTTGCAGCTCTGATGATGCCCGGATTCCAGCTGACTTCTGCCTCAGCTCGCGGCTTGGCCCAGGCGAATGGGAGACATACTTGCAGTGGTCTGAGCAGCGACCCCCAGCCGGAGGCCTGGGTTCAGAAGGAGAGTCAGGGGGACAGGGACTCCTATTTTGGTTATTAGTATGACCCACAGAAACGAGTCTGAGCCCTAGACTCTTGGCACAGAAGCAAGAAGGGCACAGGGTTTGGACAGCCACTAGTTCAATTTCTTACGGAGAGCCCCGTGAAAAGCGGGACAAGGTCTGGGTATCTTTGGGGGAGAAAGGTAGGGTGGGGGGTGAGACTTGCAGATACCTGTCCCTTCTTGGACAGCATCTGATCAGAAAATAGCAGGTGGGTCTGTTTCTAGAGATTCTTTGGGCTGGGAAAAGGATGTTAAGGATTACGGGAAGGATGGAGTTAATGGGCCTTGCTGAGTGTGGGGAGCAAGGGTCACAGCTGGGCCCTCTAGGGTTCCTGTTTGCCTTTGATTCCATCTGGGCAGGGAGGGGAGCGGCCCCCCACTACCCGTAGGCACATTTGCTTTGGCCAGAGATCTGACCCAGCCACTGGCCCAAAGCACCCCGCCTCCCTGTTCCCCCTGTCAAGAGGCAGCCCGCTGGGCCCCCCAACCCCCTCCTTCCTACCTCCTTCTTCCCTTGCCAGGCCCCTCTTCTTGGCCCAGGATATGGTTCTGTTTGTCTGCCTGTCTCCCTGGGGATTCTGGATGCCCGGCGAGGACAGGATGCCCTGCAAACAGCTGGCACACAGGGCCCCAGCCTTGTTCCCACATAACGAATTCTCCTTGGGACTTCAGGGAGCTCGGCCTCCTCTGTGCCTCAGTTTCTCTGCAAGTCCAGGATCCTTGCATTCTTGTGCTCCTGTCTGGTGTTCTCAGAACTACCCCTTGGGGAATGTGGGTGTCCCGCTGGCCAACTCAGTCAACAGTGTGTGGCTCACTTCTTGCCACTGCGTCAGACATTCTACCAGCATTTGTTGAATACTCCCTGAGCACCTCATTCTGTGCCAGGTGCTAGAGAGAATATTACAATCAAGGCAAACAGGTTGGCACCCTCACAGTCGTTTTGTCAGGATCTCATGCCATCCATGTGGTCCCTTGACCTGGGCTTCCCAAGGCCAGCCCCTAGCCCTCGGACACTCCTCCGCATTTTCTCAAGATCTCTTCACTTCTTTACCTCTATTTCCGCTGAGGGAGATGGGGTGGGCCTGGGCTCTGTCTCCCCTCCATCCCGAAGGTGCAGGAGCAGCGGCTGGGCCACACAGTGGCAGAGGTCACCTTGGGCTGGACCAGGGAACAGGCAGAGGCTTGCTATATGGCACTAGCTCTAACATGACAGCGTGTGGACTTTTCTAAGTCCTTTACCTCTCACCAGTAAAGTGAGGCACTGGACTCGGTAGGGGTTCTCACCGCAGCTGCATGTTAATGTCCCAGCCTGGGCTTTGCTCCCAGACATCACGTTTCAATTGGTCTGTGATGGGGCTGAGACTTCAGTGTCTTTCAAAAGCTCCCCAGATGCTCCAATGTGCAGGCAGGGCTGCGAACTGCTGAGCTGGACTGTCCCGAAGATAGCTGGCTCGCCAGAGCTAACAGTTAATGAGCCCCCATGCCAGCACTTCGACACTTTCCATGTGGTACCTAACATAGTCCTCACAACAAGTCTATTTTATAGATGGGGAAACTGAGACACAAAGATCTGAAGAAGCATAATCAAGTTGGGCAGCTGGGATTCACACCCAGGCAGTCTGGCTCCAGAACATGCCCGAGGGTGCAGGCAAGGAACCCTCTGCTTCCTGGCTTGAGGAACACAGGTCCAGAAAGCCCCCAGCTGCCATGGCAAGAGTGAAGAGCACCCCAGAAGATAAAGGGAAGGAACTGGGATACCCCCAAACATCTTCACTGAGCCAGGCACAACTGGCTACTGGCCGCACACCATTAGATTTGGAAGGTGATGGTTGCTCAGAGAAGGGAGAGATGGTTCTCAGCCAGACGGGGAGGAGGTGGCATTCCAGTTGGGCCTTGACGGACAGGTAGGATCTGGCTCAGAACCAGAGGGAGTGTGTTCAGGTAGAGGGAACAGTGTGGTCCAGGCACAGGGAGCACCCAGTTCGCCAAGAAGGAACACGGGAACCAGTACTGGAAATGGGCGTGGGAGTCGTTTTGTGGGGGATCTGAAACACTAGACGGAGTGCCAATCTAACTGCAGCATTTCCTAAAGGCTCTGATGATAATCATCACCTGCGGTACTTGATAAAAATCCAGGAGAGCAGGCACATCTCTTAGAAAATACACGAGGGCAGGGGTGGGGAGTGGGAAGCTGTATTTTTACCACCAAGCAATTTGAGAAATTTAGCTATAAGCAAGAGGAATCATTTCACATTTTGAGCAGGAGAGCAATGCTCAAGGCAGGCTCATTTGATCGCAGGGTGTGTGTGTACATGGCAGGGGTGTTGGCTGGAAGGAAGAGACAGGTAGGCGGTTATGGCAATCACTCAGCCAAGAGGTGGTGAGGATCTGGAGAGTGGCAATGATGTTGAGGAGGAAGGGGCAGATGAGAAAGGGGCAGGTAGCATTTTAGGATTTGGCAACCCTGATGTTGTGGTGAGGGAGGGCAGGGTTGGAGATGGGGGTGGATATTGCTGCAACATTAGCTATAATAAGGGCTTGGCAGAAAGGAGACTGTTTGGGAGGGAAGCCACCCTTTTGCTCTGGGACATCTCGTTCAGGGGCTGGCATTCTCAGTGCCACTGCTCAGTCCCCACCTGGAGCGGGCAGCCCTGCCAGCTGGATGGACCTGCACCCTTTCTTCCCCCTGGATGCCGGCTCCTCGCAGTGATGGTTTGTCCTGCACAGAGGCAGCGTGACAGTGTGGTAGGAAACCGCTGTGCATCAGAGTGCTTGGAGGACAAGCCCTCGATCTACTGCTCACTGGACAAATTTTCAGCTTCTCTGAGCCTCAGTTTCCTAAACAGCTCTAACTGGCAAGGTTGTTCGGAGAATTCCCATGCCCAGTGCATGTGGTAGCTATTATTTTCTGCTCTGGCTTTCCAATGTCCTGGTCTGGTGGTTTCTTTTTTAGCTGAATTTCATCTCCAGCACCCTTCCCTCCCCGGAGGACAGAACTCGACCCTTCCCAGTTTGCCAGGTCAGCCAGCCTGGGTTGTTCCTTGACAGACGGAAGGTTCATGCTCTGAAATAGGAGGACAGCTTCCAGGCACTGTGGATGCAAAGTGACCACCGTGGAGGAAATCTGGTCACCAGAGAGAAAGGACGCTGCCTCCATCTCTCGCTCACCCACTTCTCACTCACTCGCCCATTTACTTGGCAAATGTCTGTTGGGCTTCTGTTCCTTGCCAGACACTGTGCTAAGCATGGGGGCAGAGCCAAAAATTGCCAACAGTGGCCTTGAGAAGCTCACAGCCAAGATCTAGATATAAACAGCCTCTGGGATAACCATGCAGAGTGGGAAATGCCGTCCAAGGGCCCAGGACAGGGTGCTGTGGGAGCGAGGGGAGGGCCCGGCGGCGGCAGGATGCCGGCCCTCTCTCCTGTGGCTGAGTTCCCTCACCCCCACTGTCCCATCTGTCTCTTTGTTTTTGTAATCTTTATTTCTGGCTTTGTTTTCTCTTCACTTCACCCATAGAGAGCCTTTGGAAAAATTCCACCCTTGTTTCATTTGGCCTAGGGCAAGGGGGAATTGTCTACTCTGCAGCCAGGATAGCCAAGGGGTGCCAGGTTCCTGGGGAGTCCAGGTGTGGGCAGTGGAGGGGCAGGGGGAGCCCTGGGAAGAGCACGCAGCACCAGGACAGGGAATGGTGACAAGCAGGAGCTGAAGATGGTGCTGAGATGGCCAAGCAGCTGTTTGTTCTCCTACCCTCTTCCCAGGTCCCCTCATGTCCCCCTGTCCTCTGTGCTGATTGGAGGGGAGTGTTAAGACCCCCTTTCATTTCAGGGAGCCCTGTGAACCCCAATTTCATTCCTCTTTCCCCACCCAGGACACTTTGAAGGGCTGGGACCCCAGAGTTATAAGTGAGCCTTTGCTGTTGTTCACAGGTCTGGAGTGTGAAGCTCCCCTCGTTCCCTTCTCCTCCTATATAGCCATCACACACACACACACACAACACACACACACACACACACACACACACACACACACACACACACAAGCATCCTCTCCCTGCGCTTCCAGCACTGCATTCATTCATTTAACAAATATTTATGAACATCCACCTGTGCTGGAAGCCAGAGATGCACTGGTGGACAAAGGCAGTTATTTCAAAAGGTTGTGTAGGCACCAGGTGGGCATGCGTGTGTGTGTGTGTGTGTGTGTGTGTGTGTGTGTGTGTGTGTGTGTGCACGTGAGCATAAATGAATAAATGTGTGCAGGTCAGGTAAGGAGGAGGAAGAAGCATGTTAGGAGCTTAAAGTTTGGCAGTCAAACAGCTTGTATTTGAATCTAGGTGCTACCACTTGCTGACCAGGTGACTCTGGGTAAGTGATACAACCTCTCTGGCCCTTTCTCCCATCTGCAAAATGGACAACAATAGCACTCATTCCATGGGGTCGGGAGAACTGTGTGCCTGTGTACCAAGTGCTCAGCGCAGTGCCCTGCATGAAGCCAGTGCCCAGTAAGTACTAGCGGTCACCCGTGCCGCCTCCTCGCCTCACTCAGCTGCATATGGACAAACTCGGAAGGAACCCATTCTCCAAGTCTGTCTCTTGCTCAACCTCAGGGCCCCAGACACAGTCACCTGGTGCTAACCACCTCCTGCCACCTGGGTTCGTCTACAACATGCAGCCCACAGACCTCTGGCCAAGGCCCTGTTATCTTCTGCCATGGACTCATCCCCAGACCCTCACCCCAGGCTGCTCGGGTTGGCAAAGAAGTGATATCGCCCTGCGGGAGTGGCCTCAGCCCTGTGCTACCTTCCCGACACATGTCTGCACCATCAGGACAGGGGTGGGGAGCAGTTGGAGTGGAGCCCAAGGACCCAGCCCTAGGGAACGAGGGAACAAGGGACTTGTCAGGGGAAGGAGGAGGAGGAGGTTCCAGCTCGGAGGGATCCATCCACGGCATTCCAGAGTGGGCGGCAGCTGGCACTAATCCGGGACATCAGAGTGGCAGGGCCTCCTCGGAGGTCAGGGCCTGGTTATGCCAAGGCCAGCAGTGCCCTGTGGTTCCTTTATTCTTGAACAGCTGTGCCACCCACTTGGCGGAGGGTTTGAGAGTTTGGGAAGGAGTGTGGGCTCAGCCAGGGCAAGAGGACTACTCGGGGGGTAGACGGGTCTACCATGACGGAACAGACGCCAGGCTAGGGAGGAAGGAGGGCGAGGGTCCAGCGTGCCTGCGTGTGCGTGTGGAAGATGGCTTGTGGGCCCTCAAGTATGTCTGCGCTCGCACAGTGTCTGGATGTTTATCTGTGGGCACCTGGGTCCCATGCTCACACCGCCGTCTCTGTGCTCCTGGCATGAGCAGGCTGTCAGGGTGAAGGTGGGCGTTTGCTCCAGCAGTCTTGTCTCTTTGCTTGAGCCTCTCGGAAAGTCACAGAGAGAAGGGTCCCCTTGGGAGAGTGGGAAGTTACGGCTTACAGGGCAGTATGGGCCGAGGCTCTATCAACACACTCACATCACAGGGCTTTCTTGTGTGTGGTCATTAGTTCCCACCAAGCTGGGATGCTATGTATTTAAAAGAGAGAGCTGAGGACTGTGGGTGTGTCTGGGGCATCTCTATGTGTCTCGTGTCTGGCAGGTATATGTGCTTGCTTCTTTGATAAGGGTAACGTCTGTCAATGGCTGGGTATGTATTTGTATGTGCTGGGTCCATGTTTGCCCACGAAGCCAGGGAACTGGGGTTAGACACACAGGCTCCTCCACACTCAGACAATGCTAGGCTCAGTCCGCGTTTAGACAGCAATCCATTAACCTTGGACATATTCCTAAACTTCTGCATGCCTCAGTTTCCTCATGGGGATAATAATAGCACTAACCTCAGAAGGTTCTGGGAGGATGAAGTGAGGTCATGTTACGCACCTGGCCCAGAATACATTAATGGTCCCGCCTTTGTGCCTCTCTTAGAACCATGCCTCCATGCTTGTGACTGTAATGTGTGGCGTTGCAGCCAGATTATAAGCTGCTTTAGGGCAGAGCGTGGATCTTCATTATCTTTAATGCTACTCCGGCCACCTCAGGGCCACCTCGGGGCCTTGCATATGTCATCTAGATGGGGGAGGAATGACATAAGCACGTGAATCACAGGCCTGATGTCTGATATATGCCCACACCTGGTGGGATATGGAAGGCGAGTGGGAAGCTGGTGATGGCATAGTGACATCAGCTGCCCATGGTCACTACTGCCCCCTCACCCACGTCTCTGCAATCCCAGGCTTCCCCCTCATGCCTCAGGCTGAGAATGTCTGAAAAGCTGCTGCCCCCCTTTCTCTGCTCTCCCACCACAAGCATCAGCCAAGGTGCTGGGTAAGCCTGTGTGGTTTTTATGGGCCAGATGGGGAGGGTCCAGGAGTATTTTCCAGTCTACACAGTATATCCCTCCTTTGCAGCCTGTGAGTGCTGTGGGCGTGTCTGTGCATGGCTTTGTTGGGGTGTGTGACATCCTTCTGCACGAAGCTCCTCTGCTGTCGCGGGTACTGCGTCTGGCGCCTGGGGTTTGCCCTCCTTCCCCGGTTTCCCGGTTACATAATCAGCTGAAGGGAGTCTCAGGCCCGGGCTGTGGTCTCCCCCTGCTGGCGGCCTCCGCAATGAGCTCCCCGTGGGCCGCATCACTGGAGATGCCAGCCCAGCCCCTCAACACCTACCCACTCCCATCTTCCTCCAGCCCCAAGGGTGCGCCCATGCCAGAGGGTGCCCTCAGCAACCCGAGGGCCCCCTCATAAAACTCATACTGAGGGCTGGTCATTGCTTGTTTATGGTATGTCTCCTTCCCCCCTGGAGGCTCCCTGAAAGCAGGGGACTATGTGGGCCTTGTTTACCACGGCATCTCCAGCATCTGGCACAAGGCCTGGCCCAATCAGAATTCGTTGACTGAATGGGTTTATAGGGTGGAGAGGTTTGGGAAGAGAGACAGTGGGGTGACTGAAGATTTGGGTCTTTGGGGATAGATAGGCCTGGGCTTGCCATACCCTGGCCACTTAAAAGCTGTGTGGCCTTGGGCAAAAAGCTTAGCCCTTAGGTTTCTCATCTGTTAAGTGACACCATCTGGCAAAATAAGCTGCGGAAACTAGAAATAATGTTCAAAAGGGCCTTACTGTATAGGTGTCCCATAAATGGTATCCGTGATGATGAAGATTGGCAGCATCTCCTCTCAAGCACCCCCAGGAAGGCATTATGTCTGCTGTGCTCCCACATAAAGGGAGAATGGTTTTCCTCCCAAAGCTTCCCTGTGCTGCTCAGTTTTCACATGGCTCAGTCTGGCCTGTGGATGGATTTAGGCGAGATGGATCTGGAGAAGTCAGGCTGTGGATATGTCAAAGCAGGAGAGAATGAAGAGCCTGCTGTCCTCTCCCAGGGCCAGTCCTGCAAGCATTGGGAGGGGAGCAGTGGACCTGTGGTCTTCCCTGGGGAAATCAGCCCTCTGCCTCAGTTTCTCTGGTCTGTCTCTGAATGTGGTTCCAGCTGAGCATCCCTCTTAGCCAGGCACTGGTTGTGTTCAAGGAAAGTCTGGTCGGATCCTGTACCACTTCCCCTCTCGCAGCCTGTTTCCACCTCTGTAAAGGGGGATGAGGAGTGAGTGGGAGGGTTGGGGTGCTGAGTGGGGCAAGTAGAGGGGTTAGAGGGTGACATGCTAGATGACTTCTGGGCACTCTGACAGCCTGGGCTTTGCAGACCTGCATGTCCCTTCCCCCCACCCCAGCCCCACCCCGCGTCTCACCTTCTCCAAAGCCGGGAGGAGGCAGAGTGCCTAGGACACGCGCCCTTTCCGTTCTCCCACCGCCAGGGCAGGCCCACCCTTCCCAAGGTAGAGGGTTGTCCCCTCCCCTCACTGGAAACCATCACTCACTTAACTAAACCCCAGGTTCACCCTCTCAAGTCTAAAACTAAACTCTTAGCAAGCAGTTTAAATAATTCAAATACAAACAAAAACACCGTGTCTACTGTTTTGTGTTATCTTGTGCCAAGCACTGTATGTACATTGTCTTAATTAATTTTGGTGTGGATGGCATCCCCCCTCAGTCTGCTGACAAGAGAACTGAGATTGAAAGAACTTAAGCAACCTGACTAGGATCCCCAATCAGGAAGTGACGACGCTCAGACGGCACAGCCACCGGTTCTGCCCTGAGGGGGTGGCAAACAGGTCTCTGGTGACCGCGTGGGGCCCTGAAGCGCCCGCCCTTCAGCCCAGATACCCAAACTCCCGGGTCCTGCCCGTTGGCGAGAGGCCTGACAGCCCAGGGCAAAGACCTGGACTCCAGGCGCGCGGCCACAGCCCCCCCCGCCCCCCCCCGCCCCAGGGTTTCCTCAGGGAAAGGCCGGCAGGTGCGGAGCCAGGGTGCCCCGCAAGCGAGGCCGGGTGGGAGTCAGCCGAGTCGGCAGCAGCCTGCTAGCGCCACCGGGATCGGGGCGGGGCCGGGATCGGGGGCGGGCCTGAAAGGGGGAGGGCGGGGCCGGGACCTAAAGCCAGGAAGGGGCGGGGTCTGTCCGGGGCGGAGCCGAAGCCAAGGTCTAGGGGCCTAAAGCGCGGCCAGGGTCAGGCGGGGCGGGCGCGGCGGGAACGGCCTCCAG